GAAATATTATAAACACGACGCTCACCGCCAACAACCACCCACCATCTCGCACGCAAGTTCCGTGCATTTCGTGGCCCGCGCGCAATTTTTGCATGTGTGTAACATTTAGGGCAGGGAGGGAGGTAGGGAGGCGGGGACCTACATGAACACATACACTCGTACGGTGCGTGTTTTATTGATTTTGTAGAGCTACAAACTCGGCGACAACTGTTCAAACTGTAGTTGACACTCCACATTCCCCCTGTCTTCAATAGTAATGACCAATACTCACTATGCACATACATACACCTCTAAACATATATATATATATATGTATATATATATCCTGAAATCCCTTTTCCGATCTCACATGCGATCTCAAGTTAAATACGACTGATTTGTGTGTTTTTTTTTTTAAATTGGATAAATATTTTAAGATATGTAAAGGTAGTATCGAGGGACTATAACAGTCTAGCTTTCATTACCCCATTATTTAGATATAAGTTAGATAGAATATTTCAGGAGTTAAAATTCAATCGATACGGCGGACAGATTTGAAGTACTATGCGCAACCTCATTCAGTTTTTTGTGGTCATTTGGCCGTTCGAATGAAGCCTCACTGTGTCTGTCACTCGCTTGGCTCACAACTTTATTGGCGTCGGCAGCCAAACTTGCGAGTTTCTTGGCATCAAGCAAAAGCAAAAGCAAGCAAGCAAGCAGCTAGCACGTTGGCACAACAGCAGCAGCAACGGCAGCAGCTGGCCTCAGCTTATTCTAAAGCTAATATCCTCAGCCCCTTTCCAGGCCCCTGCTCGCGTACAGCAAGCTGCTGTCGCACATAAAAACAGCAACAACGAAAATGAAAATTTAACGACTGCGCAACGTGACGCATTATTTGTCTGCGTCGCCATTGCCGTAGCCGTTGCTTTTGCCGCCACTCGCTGCTTGACGGTGCCCTGGCCTGATGGGCGTCTGGCCTGCCTTTTAGCAGTTCAGCCTGCAGCAAGCTTGCCGCAGACTCGCGCCGCCAGAAATTGCTTTTGCTTGCTTGTTGGCTGGCTGGCTGGCTGGCTGGCTGGCTGGCTGGCTGGAAGGAACTTCACCAACTGTCTCCCTCTCTGCCTCTTCCCTTCCACCCGCTACCCGCTAACTGCGTTTGAGCGCTGCTGCTGCTGTTTTAGTATTTCGCACTCTGTGCACGAGGTGGCGGCGGCGGCAGCGGCGGCAACTGCGATGGCAGCGGCTTCAAGCATTTTTGCATGACTAACTGACTGGCTGCGGCTGAGTCTGAGTCACTCACACACATATACCGACAGTTGCGGCAGCTTGTGTTTTGTTTGAATGGGACAGAGAGGAGAGCGCCGAATGGGTAGAGGAGAAGAGAGAGAGAGAGAGACAGAGGCGGCGCTCGCTGCATGGCTGTCGCAGCCTGGCGTATGTTTATAATTTGATTTTGCTTCTTTCTTTCTCCGCTTCGTTGCGCGAGAGCGACGGACCAGCATTTCCTGTAGTTGCTAGGCCTACGAGGATGACTGAACGAGAGGGGGCTCGTGCATGCTTGGTCGGCAAAGGGGGTTCGCCGTCAGCTGCAAATTCGTTGGCACGCCAAAGCAACAGCAGCAGCAGCAGCAACTGAAACAGGCTGCAGCAAAGGCAACGTCGCAGGCCACGGAATCTTAATGAAGTTATTGTGTTGTGTTGAGTTCGCCGTTTCTGCTGCCTGCCCAGCTCTTCGTTGGTGTTGCTGTGCCATTTACATATGTAGACACACACACACAAGTGCATACGACACAATATAGACGCACATACATATATTTCTATATGTATTTATATATAAACTTTTCGGCGTATATATGTTGCTGTGAATGAAGGCTGTGGCACGTCTTGTTACATTGGGAAAAAGTTGCCAGAGCAGTTAGCCATTGACTATCCAATTGACATCTATAATTTGCACCTTATTGGCACTCTTTACTTGTTCCCCTGAATCTGCTTCTTAATGCCGCGACCTAATCAATTACCTAATAATTTGAGTTTAAAGTTCTGGGCAGGGCTTACAAGGCATTTACAATATCTAGAATTTTGAAGCATGCAATTTGTAAGCATGCTAAAAGTACATATGCACATACTAGATGTTGATAAGACCCGTTTCGATATGTAATGTATGTTAACAAGTAGAGGTCTAAGGAAAGTTCGGCAGTCACAGACTAAGATATTTGTAGAACTGTTCAAATGCATTTCTTTATTTACTTTATTCACGAACAGGCTAGAGTAAGCGAAGACAATTTGCTACTTTTTTGATTCAACGTTGCGTCAATTACGGTGATCAGAGCACGTGTAATGTACGCTCTCACTATATGCAGCAGTGTATGAAAAAAATGTAGGTTGTATGAGTTTTGGATTTCAGTCTTTTATTAACATGACCATGACAATTGTAAATAATTATTTATCAGTTAACTTATTGAGAAACATTTAGGAATTAACAAATTAAGTATAAGATTACATTGTCTATTCAGCATTCAGTTCAGTTCGCATTCCTCTCCTTCGCATTTTCCTTCTTGCACTCTCCAAACGAAATCATTGTATATGTATATGTGTGTTTGTGTGTATGTGTGCTTGTATAGAGTGTATAAGTCACACTCTGACCACTCTACATATGTATATGGATATGTGTAATGGTATGCTGTGTATTGAATTTAGAATTCCATTCGTTGTTGACAGGCAGTAGTAGGCAGCAGGCGTGTGTGATAAAAAACGTAAATACAGAACGTAGGAACAGAGGCCCGCAAAAATGGCGCCAAAAAAATCAACAATTGTCTTAAATGTGGAGCAGTTCATTCACGACATTGAGGAGAGGCCGGCAATATGGAACCGCAATTTCCACTGCAACAAGGCCTTCCTCGAGCAAATGTGGGACGAGCTAAGCAGCACACACAAGCTACCAAGTAAGTACGAGAATAACGGCATGGAGCCACACGAACGAAGTAATTCTCGAGGCACAACTTTGCGGCGAATTAAGTGCGAGACTGAAACGAGAGAACGGCATCGGAAGGCAACGGCAACGATGCCCGCACAACTAAGATAATGAAAAAGGAACTAATGAAAAGAGCAAAATGTTGTGCCTTTGGAGTAACTTGTTCTATTAGCAAACGTGTGCGTGATTGATTATATTTTGCTGTTTCTCTGCCAGAAATTGTGCTCAAAGCAAAGTGGAAGGGCCTGCGGGACAACTTCCGAGTCGAGTACAAACGCATTCCACGTGCCGACAATGGAGATTTTATAGTGGACCCCGCCACATTCGAGTCCAAGTGGTTGCACTATTACGCCCTACTCTTCCTAAGTGAGTAGCGTGAGGAAACTGCGCACATTAGCAATTTTGTTGACTTTTGCATCCGTATTTTATGCAGCGGACCATATGCGCCATCGTCTGCCGAAAAACGAACAGGATCAATCATATTACTTCAACCAGCAGAGCCAGGACTGCGAGAAGACCGTAGTCGAACCAGACCTCACCAATGGCCTAATACGTCGCCTGCCGGATAGCGATGAGGATTACGATGAAGACGAAATGGATGGTGAAGGAGGTGGCGAAGGTAGTGACGGCAGCCTGGATGGTCTGCCCACTCCGCCAGCGGCGCATCAGCAAACTCAAATTAGTACGACGCCTTTAGCCACGGGAGCTCTCAGAGCGCAGGAGGAGGCGTTTGCCGCTTCCCATCAGCATGCACTCCTAAAGGCGGGAATGTTGCGCGCTCAGCTAATGGAACTGGAATTGGAAAGGGAAGCACAAGACTTGAGCAAGAAATCATCTCCAACTCGATCTCCGACGCCGACTGTTCCTACAGCGATGGCAACACTTTCGAATCAGGAGATACTTGCTGCATCTGCACATTGTTCCCCTCCGCCGGTGGTGACCACCACCACTACGCATAGTGCTGTTGCCACGGCAACGCAGTTGGCAGGCACAGTCCTAGCTGCAGCCACTACCACCTCCAATCCAACAGGAAATGCGGGAGCGGTGGGCGGAAAGCGCTCGGTATCACCGCCTCCGCTTTATAACAAGGCACATCATCCACTGCCCACACTTTCTGTAGGACATCATACGGTCGGATCGAAGGAAGACTTTGGTGGAGGTGCCGTCAGCGCGGGTAACGAACACCTGAACTTCACTCAACACTCGTACGCCAATGGTCTAATACCGGCTCTGAAGCTGAAGCGGCCGCGCCTCTCAGAAGACAGCAATTTCAATGGTTCCTCAACAATGGACGTACCGCTGGTGCCTGATGATGATGATTATCACTATTTACTCAGCCTGCATCCGTACATGAAGCAGCTGACGGCTGCGCAGAAGCTGCGAATTCGCACAAAGATACAGAAGCTCATATTCAAAGAGCTGTACAAAGAGGATCTCGAAGAGTCCAAGTAGACGCCCCGTTCTCAATTTCCATGATTATTAAGACTGTACATATTAATAACCCCGTATTGAATACCTAGTTTGTAAGGATTAATAATAATCCATAGTTATCTATGCCATGCTATTTTCTAGTTGAGCGTTGTGACCATCCCAACTACTGAAATGGGTTGCGCGGTGGTGCGCGCCATTTAGCGTAAGCTCAAAGATTTAGAAATAAAAACCGTAAATGTTTATTTACAAATTGAAATTTATTCATGGAGGCAATTGGTTTAACATTCTTTAGAGCTTGTGTCCACACAAACTCATCACGAACACGCTGAAAATATGGTGGGTCTGACAAAGATTAAAATTATTTGATGATTTGGGAACATTAACCATTAATTTGGTTTGTAAATTCTTAAACCACGACGTGTTTATTTGGCGTCAAACCAGCTGTATAGTTGCAGTTAAAATAGTACATATTAATTTAATATTGGTTAATGGAAAACACTAACTGCAGAGACATTGAATTGGTCGAGCTCTCGTGTTACACGTAAAGCCCAAACTTATCGATATTGTCGCAGTTGGATATTTTGTTATCGTTTTACTTATGTGCCAATCTATTTCGCAGGTGAGGTCTATGTACTTGATGATGGAGCGGAGGTCGACTTAGATCTGGGTAATTACGAGCGCTTCCTTGATATTACATTGCACCGGGACAATAACATAACAACGGGCAAAATTTACAAGCTGGTCATCGAGAAGGAGCGTAAAGGAGACTACCTGGGCAAGACAGTACAGGGTAAGTTGTATAAGACTACTTTATATAGAATGCTGCTAATGATTTTGTATTACAGTTGTACCGCATATCACAGATGCCATACAAGAGTGGGTGGAGAAAATCGCCCAAAGACCTGTTCAGGGTTCTTCCAAGCCGCGGGTGTGTATCGTCGAGCTTGGCGGCACTATTGGTGACATTGAGGGCATGCCCTTCGTTGAGGCCTTTAGACAATTTCAGTTTCGCGTAAAACGCGAAAATTTTTGCTTAGCTCACGTTTCGTTGGTGCCGTTGCCCAAAGCCACCGGCGAGCCTAAGACAAAGCCCACACAGAGTTCTGTGAGGGAGCTTCGAGGATGCGGCTTAAGCCCGGATTTGATTGTATGTCGTTCTGAAAAGCCGATCGGGCTAGAAGTAAAGGAGAAGATTAGTAATTTCTGCCATGTTGATCCGGATCAAGTCATTTGTATACATGACCTGAACTCCATATACCATGTGCCAATCTTGATGGAACAGAATGGCGTCATCGAGTTCTTAAATGAGCGACTTAAACTGAACATCGACATGAGTAAGCGGGCCAAGTAAGTGAGCTTTAGCTAAAAATCAGTAAGATGTTAATAGCTTTTTTCATTGCACTTCCAGATGCTTGCAACATTGGAGGGATCTAGCACGACGCACTGAAACTGTTCGTCGTGAGGTCAACATAGCTATTGTAGGAAAGTATACCAAGTTTGCGGACTCGTATGCATCCGTGGTAAAGGCGGTCCAACATGCTGCATTAGCAGTGAATCGCAAAGCAAATTTGGTTTTTATTGAATCATGCTTACTGGAGCAGGAAACTCTGCAAAGGGAGCCTTCCAAATATCACAAAGAGTGGCAAAAGTTGTGCGAAAGCAACGGCATACTCGTGCCTGGTGGCTTTGGAGCACGCGGCATGGAGGGCAAAATACGCGCGTGCCAATGGGCACGCGAAAATAAAAGACCGTTTTTAGGAATTTGTCTGGGTTTGCAAGCGGCTGTTATAGAGTTTGCTCGAAACGTTGTAAACCTTAAAGATGCTAATAGTACTGAGATAAATCCAGATACGGAACATCCTTTGGTCATCGATATGCCGGAGCATCATATAGGACAAATGGGTGGCACTATGCGCTTAGGCAAGCGAACAACAATATTTGCCGATAAGCCGAGCACGATTCGACAGCTATATGGTAATCCTGAGACAGTGGACGAGCGACACAGACATCGATACGAAGTGAATCCTCAGTATGTATCGCAATTAGAAAGCCATGGCATGAACTTCGTGGGCACAGACGTGGATAAGAAACGAATGGAGATTATCGAGTTGCGGTGTCATCCCTACTTTGTGGCTACCCAATACCATCCGGAATATTTGTCGAGGCCACTAAAGCCCTCACCTCCGTTCCTTGGTCTAATTTTAGCAGCAGAAGATAGGCTTACGTCCTATATCGAACGTGGTTGCCGCTTGTCACCGCGTCAACTCTCTGATGCGTCTTCAGATGAGGACGAAACGGTCAATGGTGTAGCACACAACTTTGAAGCCCTTAAATTTCCAGGACACAAAAAGAGCACCACTACAAGCACCTGCACCAGCACAGATAATCAATGTGAACCCCTAAATGGCTTAATGAATGGAAATGGAAATGGATTAAATCACACCTTTGACGATGAGGAAAGCGGTGCTTGTGGTGAATCAAGAATATCTGATTGAGCTCAATTGCTTTCACTTCATATTTTTCCTATTAGCATATAGTTATTTTACTTGGATAAAGTTCTTAAATAAATATGTTTCATTTATTGAACTGTGTAGAATCTATTATCATTTTGCTTTAAATGTAAAAAGGTTGTCCACACTTTTAAAGTGATCGGATGATTGAATTTGTCTCGAAATCTCCTTTTCGTTGAGAACTATTTGAATATAAAGTGTTAAGATATTTTCATTAATATATTAAACCTTAAAGGCAAAAATTAAATATATGTAAGGAAATATTAAGATATGATGAACAAGATATGAAAGAGATTGATGTTCTTATAATAACTTTATTTTATTGAGTTGTAGCTAGACACTACATTTATTTTATAGATCCACTACATCAATAAAATGCTTAGCTTTGACCAATCCATTGCAATGTAGTTTACTTGATTTAGATGAGGTTTTCTCATTGTTTTAGAGCTTTGAGCTTAATTTGCGAATGAGGGCCGTTGTTATTTATATATGTGTGTTTGTATAAAAGTTAATCAGGATAACTACAAGTCGGGTATTATCAACTATAGTTGAAATTGTTTTTATTAGGTATTATTTTAAAACTTTTGTTTACAGTCTAATCGATGTTGAAAACACATTAAACAGAGTTTTCATGATTTATGATTTTTTACCATAGGCAACATAGTTACATTAATTTCATATATGTATATTGTTAGAGTTTAAATAGTGAAGCTTCAATAATATCTTGGCAAATGTTAATTATACTTATGGTAAAATGAGGTTACTGTGCAGTTCTAAGTGTGAAGAAATTAAGATCAGCTTTTTAAATTTCGAGAGGAAAATACATTTAAATTAATTTCCTTTTTGTTTTGGGCAAATATAATTGATATGAATTAGTTTTATGTATTATGTATTGCAAGGATGTCTGAGGATCAACATGGTCTCATGATATGGTTAATTATGTCGTTTGTCAATTAGATATGCTTTTTTAAATACAAAGCAGTATATTCACCAGAAGCCCAAATAAGGTTGCTAGCACAGTAAAATGAGTATCTTTGTTTTGGGAAAGATTGTGCAGTACGTATTGCCGATCGAAGCTTGAAATTGGAAATATTTTTATATTTCGATATGCGTATCAAATCTGCGATGAATTTTAGTTTTGCAGCGTGACTTGATATTAGAAATTGAATGTAGAGTAGAGAAAGTAGAGTATTTTCAGATAATAATATTTTTATTCTGTACAAATGAACAAGGATTAATAAAATTATATTATCAAATATTTTCGAGTTGGGATAACAAAATTTAAACAAACAAGAGTTCTTTAGTTACCCTGAACCCTGCGAAAAGCTGATATTCCAATTAGTCTACGCTTAAAAAACGAAAACTATAAATTTTTAACGATGAAAAAATGGAATGAGTTATAGAAATATAAAAATACTCTCATATGGCGTATGATAAAAATTAAATTGATGTCTATATACATTAAGGCGTTACGGAATCGCTGAGATCGACTTAGATCGTCGTAACCGTTATAACCTGAACTCCCCATTGCTGTCCACTTTTAATTGCTGTCGAACAGGTGTAGGCTTTACATAATTTCAAACAATACGTTGACATCCAATATGATGTTGCCAAAAGTAGTTTATTTTGGGATAGCACTTTGAATAGAGTAGGGTAGAGGCTTATATACAACGCGTCAAGTAGTATATCAAGCAGCATGTACTTGTGTAATATGTATATATATTTAGATATAGACTTATGTATAAACGTACAATCGTACATATTGTGGTCTTATACTGTGTACTCAGCAAAAAAAAAAACAAAAAGAAAATAAAAATGTTGCTCTTTTTCTGGTCCGTCGCAGAAATTTATCAAATGCTCATGATAATGCTTAACGAAGCCATGACGACTGCCGCTGCCTGTACCAGCCAGGTCCGCAAATAGACGAGCGTATGCCTGCTAAGCTGTATGGCTATACGGCTGTATGGCTCCGGCCGTGTACAAATGTACTAGCTAATTATCTTGGGTCTTCTGCTTGGCCGTTCATGTATGTTCATTGTTCATTCCGTTGAGTACGTTCTGTGCATTCTCTGCGAGAAGACGCGAATTAATCATCGAGAATAAAGCGTAAAGAGATTCGATCCGCCATGCACGCCAAGAAGAAAACGCGAGCACGTAATCGACCCAGAAACAAATGCAATCAAATCAAGTCAGAGATCGATGAAACACAGATTTGTGTTGCAGCTGATTCCGACCTGGAGCAGATCCAGCCGGAACCTCCTAAAGTTGAAACGGACACCTCTGCCATTTCCCTAATACAAAAGATTCTTCGCAAGAAACTACTGTCCAAAGCGAATAGCTCAGCGTCGCCAAATCTTTCAAAGCCATCAAATGTTGAACATTCAAAAGTCCCTTCTCCAGTGCCCAAAGTTGGCCCACTGGGCAACAAAAGTGATGAAATAAATGATTTTCTAAAATGCATTGGAACGAAGTTGCAAAAAGGTTCATATTCAGCCATCATTGTATCTATACCAAATGGATATTTGGTGTAAAGAATGAATTTAGTAAAGCGTTTATAGTGAATAAAAACCCTTATGTAACTCTCTCTAGGCTCGAATGAGTTGACCAAGGGAGCCCTTCTTAGCCAACTGGGCGAAATGTTTAGCACAGCGCCCTTACCTGATGCCGAGTCATCCGATGAGGAGGCCGAGTACGTGGAGTACATATATAAGCCACGACAATATTTCATGACATCGTTGTGTAACGTAAGTGCTACAAGCAGCTTCTTGGGCGATTCATATATAATCATCGGTCTTCACAGCATTGCAAATTGGATCTGTGCGGCCGTCAGATGATTCCTTGTAAAAGCTGTGGAATGGTTTACTACTGCACCGTCCTGCACATGCGGGACGATCAGGGGCATCGCCAGTTATGCTACGGCCTGCGGCAACTGGAAGAGCAACATGGCCACGACATCTTCTATAAGAGTGGAGATTTTAGTGCCGAGCAGTTCCGATCCTACCGCATCGTGAGCATACGTCAAGTGGAGCAGGCGATCAATCGATCACTAACGGCCACCGAACAGGAAGTATTGCTCTTTCCGTTCATATGTGGCTATGCAAAGTGCCGGGAGCACAAATTCAAAAAACTAAAGGCATGTGTTAATTGTGGCGAGGTTGCGTTCTGCAAGGATAAGCAGGAACATCTAAGCGCCAGTCATGCCGAATGGTGCAGCACCTACAAGCTGTTCAAGGCAATTGTGATGTTCCAGGCGAAGTTTGGACGTGTGGAACCTCCGCTGCCCGACAAGGTGTTACGAGATACGCCCATGTCCTGCTCCAATACCAGGCAAATATTGAAAAAGCTAAATTTCAGTAAGTGATTGTGTTTCTGCATTGCCTGCTCTACTTCTTGAAATTCAATCTTGCATTTCGCAGATGTGGCTGAGGGATGCGAATTTGCGGCGTTGACGCAAGTAGCCACCGGACCGCTGACAGCGTTTTTCGCTCTTAAGCTTTGTGGACGTCTGGCAGCTAAGCAGCTTACAATTCATTTGATCGGTGCGGAAATGGAGTTCGAAGTGGATGTATTTCAAAAATGGGAGATTTTCTTGCTACACATATTGCCGTCAGTCGCAAACTTGAATATCGTTTTTGTTGGACCGGAGCTTAATCCCAATAATATATCGTTCGATCAACTATCAACAATTAAGTGAGTGCATTTCCTTAGAATTTCAGCAAATGTGTTTATCACCATTCTCGCTTTTTTAGGTGCTGTCGCCTCTGTCGGAAAACACAACGAACAGTACAATATAATTTTGAGAACCGTCTTTATCACAACTATTACTTGGATCCAGATTTTCAAAAGCCCGATTTAGGTAATTGCTTCTCAATGTAAATACAAAGACCCTTCTTTATTACTATATTTAAACTTCAATATTCTTTATTTTTACTTTGAACTTTGTATTTTTTTTAGTATTCTAAGTCAACGGGTAAATGTTATTTAGAACTAAGATAATAATAACAATAATTATTAAAATGTATGTTTATCACAACCAATATTATTTCTTTTTCCAATTTACAGTCTGCTTTTTCAACTCGGGCTTGTATCGGGCTACAGGCTATGCCTTGGAGGACAGCTGGCCGGAGACTATTCGGGCAACATTGAACCTAAAATGCCCCATTGTTGTTACATCATATACTAAATACGAAGCCCCACTGGATTTAAGTCAATTTCTAAATCAATCCAACCGTCATTTAACTGTGGTGCTACCGCCGACTACGAATCCGTTTGGATCGGAAAAACCAGAACGTAATTTTATATCAGACGATGAAGCACCATTCATGTTCAAGAATTATCAATGTTTCGTTGTTGAATAGGTTCGTCTGTAACCCATGTTGATTATCTATCTGAATAAAAGAAATCATTGTATATTTGTTTTTGTATTTTTAAAATCAAATCTTATAAATGGTGTTGGATTCTATTAGGTGAAACATCCTTGATTTAATTTTACGTTGACATTTTTCCAAATTTTATATGAGTTTGTCAAACGTGTTGAAAACGAAAAAATTTTTTTGTTTACATTTACGATTGCTAGAAAACTGCGATTTTTGGTGCATGGGAATTTAAAAACGATTGGTAAACTTTATTCATTTTCTTTTAGAGTTATATCTAAAAGCAATCTTGTGTTCTAGCTCTCCCGGTCGAATAGTTTTAAAAATCTATAAAAAATTACGAAATTGCTTCGCCGGCATTTTTAATATATATGAATAATCGAAGAACTCATGTTTAATAAAGTTTTAGTTTCGTTTATGTTGAAAACAAGGCATTTAAATTTTTACCGTTTTACCTAAGTTACTCACCACATTTTAAATTAATAAAGTCTTGGCAATTATCTGAAATCGGCATACCACCACTGACAGTCGTGTGATCACGAAAACCTATCGAAAACGTATCGGATTGTAAAAAAGTGTAAGAGGAAGACAACGCGCAATTATAGTAAATAAAAGTACAATTTTAAACGTAAATATGAGCGATTGTGATTTTAAGGAGCTTCGTGCTAAGCTCGATGTAATGGGCTTCAACCAGACGTTACCAGTGCTAGCAATTCCGCTGGTTGGAGCCATCTTTGGCGATCTAATAAAAACAACGGAATGCCTCCGTGATACAAAGAAGCAAGTTGTTGAGTTATTAGAAGTAAGTTTACAAGAGCTAATATCGTTTAATATAGCTAGAAAAGTTTACTTGAAAAATTATTTTAGGAAAAAGCGTGCTGGGAGTTGGGAGTTGAGCCCTATAAATGTGACAATTCGCGTTTACTGGCCGAGTGTAATGAGCTGCACCTGAAAACTCTTCAGGAACGAGAAGGCTATGAGCTTCGGCTTTGTGGTATGTATTGAGTTACCATTATTTTGCGTAAATAAAAAATGTCCCCGTAGAGGCGGAACGCCGAATACGCAATCTGCAGACTGACAGTGAGCATTTGCAGAACCATAATGTCCAACTCCAAGCTCAACTGGATACGTTTTTATCAAAGCAACTAATCAATGCAACATCTGCCAAAAAAACGTTCACTGCGTTAACGAAGAGTATGTAATACAGAACAAAGCATACTTTTAACTAAATACCATTCAATCCATGTATAGCTAAAAAACCTTTTATTACTACCGTACGCTCTGGAGAAGTGCTGCCCCCTTCATACACTCCTTCATTGAAATGCACAAAGTGTAATGTTGGAGTGATTCAAAAGACTACAACTGCAAGTAAGGATGGCGAGACCGTCACATCAGAAGAGATTGACAAACTACAAAATGAACTCAAGACTGCTGGCGAGCAGCTGGAATTTTATAAACGGAAAGTGGAATCGCGGAACCGTGAGATTAGAAGATTAAACGATATGCTCTCAGGTGGCCGACCTCCCGCAGCCTTAGCAAAGGAATGCTGCTACACGGAAGTGGCCGCTCTCTCACAAGATGTTGAGCTGCTACAGCGAGAAAAAAGCGACTTGGCGACGCAGGTTACCGAGTATCAAGACAAGATGCACGATGCCATGCAGCGGGCGTTGCGTCTAGAGGAAGAAAAACAAAGATTGCAAACGCATCTGTACGAGCTAAAGGAAGCTGCTTTACAAGTGGAGCAACAAGCCAATTCTGAAATAGATTCGAAAGAATCGGAGCTGCGACAACTTCAAATTGAGGTAAAGCAATTGCACCAGCGCATCGATCAGAGCTCCAAGGGACGCCAGACTGCCGGATGTGAGAAATCTGCACTCCATGATGACAAACGTGTGCTTAACGAAAGAATCAATGTGCTGACTTGCCGTGAAGAGGAGTTACAAATAATGAATGAAAAGCTTAAAAAGAAGCTGCTCAAAATGGATACTAAAATGTCAGCGGTGCAAAAAGCGTTGCAAGAACAAGTGCAACAAAGAAGTGTTACACTGGATGAGGAAAAAATTCGACTTAAGTCCGAGCGCGACTTCTTCCAAAAGGAGTATCTACGTCTCATGAGCAAAGCCGGTTCGGATTCCGAGATAGCATTTCTACACGCCCAAATCAAATCAAAGGATGATGAGTTACATGTTTTGCGGTCGGAGTTATGCATGATGTCCACAACAAAGCTCCAGCAGTCGCCCCGAAAGAGTGACAACTTATCGCCACCCACCGTTAGCAGTACGTATAGCTCTGCTAATCGTAGTGACTGTGTCCAGGCTGCCATTGCTCGGATTGAGCGCGAACGCGATTGTGCACGTGTTGAGCTCGAACGTATGCGTTGTGAGCGGGACACACTGCGGGAAAAACAAATAAGCAGTTTGCAACTGCACGCTGAGGAATTGCAAACGCTGCGCATGCGCAATACGGACTTGCAGGATCGTATACGCCAACTAGAGCGCGATTACCGTGAGTTGAATTCAGCCCGCGTTCCCACTGAAACACACAATGCTCTCTTGAAGGAAGATGTATCTGAGTTGAAACAACGTTTATCGGTGCTGCAAACCGATATAGAGAACTTGAGAACTGAGAATGGACAATTAACGTAAGTGCTTATACTGTATTGTATTAGGCTCTGCAAAGTTCACTAATTGTATCTTTAATAGATTGATTAACGAACAATATGAACGCCTTATAGCCGATTATCAAAGTAAGCTTATAGTAGCGGAGCGTCAGGTACATAAGGCTGATGTTCGTGCCAGCACACTGGATTCCAGTCGCGAAACGAATCGCAATGAGGTTAATCAATTGCGTACTGAACTCGGGTCACTTCGGCAGACTTATATTGCCTTGGAGCATGAAAAGGATTCACTAGTGGTAATTCGGGATCTGCTTATTTCTATATTTCTTTATTTCATTTACCGACTAACCATAGAATCAATTGGATAAAAAAACTACGAGGCTTTTTAAATTGGAATATGAGATCAAAGACTGTGAAGATAAACGAAAGGCACTCGAGCAAACGGTTAAAGAACTGGAGTTACAAGTTAAGTAAGTAATCAATTACACATTAATTAGAACTGAAGTCAAGTAGAGTCGACGGTCATGTCATACGAAGATGACTTACATAAAAATATTTATTTATATTATCTACAGTTTACTTAAACATTTATACAGTTGCTGGAGTAATACATTCATGGCACAATCTCCCACCCTGGCGCCTTTTAAAGCCAAACTTTGGCTGCGAACGTTAGCCAAATATATCTAAGAACCACCTAAAAGGAAATGAAACGATTAAATCGATAGATCTTATATACAATCGTAGGTCTTCCAGAACTTCGGTTCACAGATTAGGAAAATCATAGATAATTAAGTAGAACAGACATGCGCTGACAATTGGATAACAAATAGTATGGAATCAGCGCAAATCCATTTTCGATTTAAAAGCTCGTCAAAGGATAGAACAAGGCAACACTATTGCTGGGGTCGGAAGTGGGTTGTTTAGTGAGGAAATTCGAGTTACGACGCTCGATGGTTAAATACCTCGCCAGGCTTACGCTGGGTGCGCTGCAGCTGTGCGTTCCGCCGTGTTCTCTCTCGGCTGGCGTGTAACCTGGCCGGCACACACATTTGGCTTTGCTGGCAAATCCCAAGAGTGTAGTGCTATTAGTTGTTTGCGTTTTCAGCGGCTCCAGCCATTGACCGGCACCGCAAGGTCCTCGCGTGTAAAGCTTATGGCACTGGCCATTCATTTCAACCATTCCGGGCGTAGCCTCACAAATGCTCTTCTCCTGGTCGCTGCTGGTTGAACACTGCTGGTCCAAGTTTGTAATGACGCCCGCACAGCCGCATATGCCGTTGTAGGAAATTCCGTCGAGAGATGGTCTTGCCGTAAAATCAAAGACCACTACTTGGTGCAGAGAGCACGGTCCCTGTGAACCGATTCTGTAGCATGAGTCCTCGGCAGGGAAATAGAGCCGATTTTTGCCACAGAAATTCCGTACACACGAGGTTTGATTGATCAAAAACTCGTTAGCTGCACAAGGTCCACGGGTATAGAGGCGATAACAAAGACCGTCGGCCCACGGTACATATCCCTCCTTACACATGCACTTGGCATGTGACACGATCTGCATGTCCTCTTGACCTACCTCAATATCATCGGGTACACGAAAGATATGACCAGGTAGACAAGGGCCTGGAGTGTCTACAATAAATACTGATATTCAATTTGGATCTCTTTAAATTTGTTGTGCTTTAGACCTACCAAGCTCGTAGCACATCTGGTGTGGTGCGTGGTAGTGAGGCAAATGTCGCTGGCAATCACAGCGGCCACCGGGTAGAAATATGTGACCCGGTGTTGAGCAGGGTCCTATAGTGTAGTGCTCGTAGCACGATTCCTCTACTACATAGTAGTATGGTCGCAACTCTCCTTGTTGCTCACAGCGGCACTCGGCCAAACCGTCTTCGTTCCGTGCAAGCAGCTTGCCTCGAATGCAGGGACCCTTCGAGTATTTGGGGTAACACTTGCCGTCTTTTGGCCAGAAAAGCATTCCATCGTTGCAGTGAAGTGGGCGTTTACAGCTGCCCCACCGATTGTCAGCTCTGAAATAGCATAATGTATGGCTGTGCCAACAACTCAGAATTACAAGTGCCTACCTTTTAAGCTGCTCTGGTATGGGCTGGAAGTACTCGCCGTGCTGACAGGGTCCGCGTTCGTAAAGTTTGTGGCAAGCATTCGTGACCGCACTGAGCGCGGTACCTGGTGGGCAGCGACACTCCGCCATGGAAACATCTTTCCTCTTAGCGCTTGTTGGTGTTGGACTCAGTTCCATAGTGTCGGGACAAGGATAGCCAAGTGTGAAGATCTTAAAGCATTTCTTTAGCGGTGCCCAGTAGAGCAGCTGCCAGCCGCCGGTCATGCTGGCACACGGGTTTTTTGCCGGGTCACTCCAGGGCGGCGGCACAATGCCACCCAAAGCTTGATGTTGTGTCAGCAAAAGCAACAAGTAGGTGAATATGCTGCTACTGGCCTGCAGGGCCGCCCAGTAGACCAGCAGCTTCCGGCGCTTCATTCGCATCGTTAGCGGCTGCAAGTACGGATAATTGTGGACTGGATTAAATTTTGCCAATACGGCTTTGACGTATTTTCTATTGTGTGACTTGGTCAATGGCTTATGGCCATTAATTAATTAATTAATTCATTGATTTTTACTCAGCTTTGAAGCATGGACAGAAGACTTAACGCCTCGAGATGCGATCCTCCTAAAAGTAATAGGCTAAATATTTCTTTGATTGTGAGCTTAAAGCAGGTCCAAATTAAATTAGCCAACTTGCAGGTCGATGTGTTGTGTAGCAATTTTGCTGATTCCGCGACTTACAAAAATAACAAACACAAAAAAAACACGGTAATTTAAAAACCAGTATGTGGTCGTGCGCTGTTAACCATGACCTAAATGCGCATTTATCTTGACTTCTTTCTTTCATTTCCCTGCCCTTGCGGAAGTTGCCTCGAAGAAAAATTCTCTTGGTCAACGAGTGCCTAAAATCGAAGTCACATTTACATAATCGCTGTGCTTTGAAAACTTCCATGTGGTTAGTGACGAAACAAGTGGCAGAAGCAGCGAACAAACAGCAGACAGCAGACATCAGCCAGCCATGCTGTGCCGTAAAAACCTGCAACACTGCACTAATTCCCCAATTTTTTCCAACCGCGGTATGCCCCGGGCTTGGGCTTTGCCTCGGATAACCAACAAGCAACAGCTAAAAACGAACAGGCAGTGGAGTAGGCAACAGTCAACAGCCAACAGCTGCTGCCTGAGCTATAAATAATGCATTAGGCTAACCGCAGCTTACGCTGCTTTGACTTGTTTTGGGTTTCTTGTTGAAGTCGCTGGCTTCGGCTGTCGTAACAACTAACAGCGACGGGTTTCCTAATGCCGCAAAGCAGAGTATTCTCTTTTGTTTGGTCAAAAAGAACACAGTTGCTAAACAAAAGCCATTTCAGCCTCATCAATTTTTTGGTATGGATCTCGAGCCATGATCTGTTTGTTTGTGTATGTATCCAAGACGGATTGCTGAGGTTTAAGCTCAAGAGTACTTCGTGCTAATTTTTAGCAAGGGTTAGCCGTGTTTCCTAATATGCATGCTCACCTCGCGGCGAGGTTTTGATGTTTTATGTTGAGCTTTGATACGCCCCCAATCACGAGAATCGCACGAGATCACAGTCGAGACACAATCAGCAGCGGCTATGTCTGATTTGACTCCGATTTTGACTTCAAGCCCAATGCCAGTTCACACATGTAGCAGAACGGTGCACAACACGAGACTCGACCACTTAAACCGACCATTCGCTTGCGCAGGTAACAGACGTTTGAGCGGCTATACGATGGGACCAGCGCACAGACCGAGCCAGGTAACACAATGCGTTTCTCTCTTCCTATCACACTCTCTTTGCATTGTTACTCTTGGCAATGTTGCTCTTCTATTTACCATAAACTTCTCTCTTAAATAAACAAGATTCAGTAAAATGTTTCTTTTTTCAATGTTTCTTATATTTGCCACCGTGTGAGCTCAGCCTTAAAGGTTCTTCGAGCATAATTAAGTTTTAGTTCAAGTTATTTATATGAGTGACACCTGCCAGGCAATACTGATTGACATCGATGACCGTCAGACTTGTCTTTGGCGTCGCCTCGTCAGAAGCAAACCGGGTCTGTGTGTGTCTGACTGTTTACAGGGTCGCGCTTTGTTCTTGAGTTTGAATTCGAATTGCGGATATGTGCGGACGTGCCTAGCTTGTGAATGCAGAGTCCGCTCTTTGAATGGTTATCAAAGAGCGTGCACATAACATAAACTAATAATCGGGTTCTACTGCGGTTACTCATAGCTCGTTGTTTAATTATTTCAATTTGACCCCGTGACGGCAGAGGCCCAACTAAATGCCGTTAACTGAATGTGTTTGTGTTTGTTGCACTGGCCTAAGCCAAGTGCATGTGAGGACACAAAAAGAAGTAGTCTTTGCAGCCAATATTGAAACTGAAATCTGATTGCAGCAACCTGACCACAAGAACACGACAACGAGAATCGGAGTTGAATAGCACGTCAGCCGAAGGCAAGACATTGCGGCAGCAAATTGCGGCACTACAACTCAGCCGCGATGAAGCAATTGCGGAAAACGGGTACGTATAAATAAATAATATTGGGCAACATTATGCTTCATCACACATTAGTCTGACCGGTCCGTATCCATATAATTAACAACTCTTTTCTTAAGTTTTGTTTTGCCCGATCATTAGCTGGCTTTTTGTGACTGTTATCATTATTTTACATGTGATTTTTTTGTGACTCGACAGACGTCTCACGGACAAATTGAGCAATGCGCAAGGAGAATCGAATACGCTGCAAAATAAGCTCAAGGACTCGGAACAACAGGTGGCTAACATGAAACAGAAGCTGCACAAGTATGTCCAAGAGGTGAAAAGGGCCGAAGATTTGCTTATGGAAAAGGTATGTCGCTCAAGAATAGTTTGTAATTAGTTCATAAGGCATTTCGGGTTAATGTGCTAGGTATACTTTGTCTTAAAGGAAAAGGAGCGTGAGGAATTGCTAGACTGCTATCGCAATTTGACACACGACCAAGTCGTTTTGGAAGGCAACAATCAAAGCCTGGAGGTTGAGGCGAGTGAGTTCAAGTGAGTAGCTGACAAATATTAAGTATTATTAAATTAACTACAATCTAATTAAATGTATAAAAGGCAGCAAATTTGCGAACTACAGTGTGAAGTGCTTTCGCTCAAGGATCAGCTCCATTGCCGCCAGTGCAAAATTGACGAGCTCGAGATGCAGTTGACAGCTGCTCGTGCCTCTATGAGGTGCTTGGAAAGGGAGCTGGAGAACGCGCGTGAGCAGAAAATAGAGCTGGATGTGCGAAAGGAGCTTTGTGAAAAATTGGATGTAGAAAAAGAGAGGCTAAACGCTGAGCTAAACGAACTAAATGAAATTCGCAAAAAGGTGAGCGTATATGAATGTAGTGTGTATCTTTGCAATGGACGGTAATGGAGGTATGCTACAGTACATATAAATCATAATCATCCTCGTCATATTTACCTTAAAAAATATTATAAAAATGTAATTGTTCGCTTTAAGTTGCGTGTAAAAATTATGGTCCGTGTTTAACCTGTCATTGTACCATCCAAAATAATTAAATTACAGCTGGAAAAAGAATGCAAACAATTACGTGCCGAATCACAGCAAAAGTCTGCATTAAATGAGATCACCACTGAGACTACGGAGCAACTGTTGGAGCGCATCCGCGGCGAACAGCAGCGCCAAGATAACGCAGAGCTAACCGCGAAGCGCGAAATGGAGCGACTGCGGCAACTACATGAAAAGACATTGGTATTTATTTAATCAAAAAGCATGTTAACAATTCAAACAAACATTTCATTTGATTCATTGAAAACAGACGGAGCTCCAAGAAGAGCGGGAGCGTTGTAATGAGCAGGAACGTCTTGCCAATGAGTACGAGCAGCAGGCTCGGGAATTACGCAGAAATTTAGCAGAGGATCGCTTTTGCCAGGCGCGCACAAGGGAAGTCAGCCCAAGGGTCCAACAACAAACACTGTAAAATTGTTGAAGTGAATATGATGTATTCCGAAACATGTTTCGTTTTTTATTTCTGTTTGTATTTGCATTTGTATTTTGTATTACATTTTTTATATAGGTGTTGCGACATACATATTTGTAACTTACATTATAGAGTTATCTGATTCTTCATGCTCATGTTTATTTATGTCATTAGATTAATTTTTAACAAAACATTTAAATACAAAAAAATGCTTATTTAATATCAGATGGTTTAAGTTTAAGTTTATATGTATCTTTAAGGTTTTTATATTCTATTTTTATATTCTGATCGCATTAAAATGGGAAATCAGGGTTTTGTGCAAATGTATGTAACAGGCAGAAGGAAGCATGGCAGACCCCATATTTGTGATCAGGACGATAAGTTCAGTAGTTTTTTTTCGTTTTATTGTTAGCGATTAAAAACATGATCGAAGTGCAGTTAAATTATATCTCGTAAGACTTAAGAGCTAGAGCCTCCAGATTTTGTATTTAGTTTTATTTGTATTTTCTGTCATTTTTATTTTTATTATACTTTGGATATTGGCTCCAAATTTCCTCTTCTTTAAATTTAAGTTCAGTTGGAAATATGGCCAATATGTAAATGGGTTTGCATTATTACTTAACTACAATATCATATGCTGAAAATTTCATTAAAATCCATTAAGTAAAACAGAAATTATTAAACGTTTTTTGTTTTTTTTTTTTTTTAATTAAATTATTAATAGGCGGTGTTGGTACAATTGATGCGCATTGCGTTGGTTGTATTTTTGGTGTCGTAATGTCGATTTTTATTTGTTTTTAATACTCGATACAAACTATTGAAAATATAAAAAAAACACAGGAATAGGATTCAACTAGAGTTTTCCAACTAGAGTTTTCTTACTTGTTATGACTGTAACTGAAGTCTGGCAAGTCTTTTTCGTATATAGTATTTATGGAAATATATTTATATTAGAGATTTGATTATAGAAAGTGTACTTGTAAAATTGAAAATAAATAAATCAGTTTTCACTTAATTAAGTATTAAGTGCATGAATTGCAATTAACGGGATCTCATTTAAAGGAGTCATCCAACGGCGTACACTTAGCAATCAGCCGCAGGTACGCTTTGTACATACAGGGACATCCAGTAAAGGGCGGTATATAATCGCGATGGCTTCGGCTTTCATTACAGGTTGAATACTCGTCCTCATAGTTGGATTCATTGCACGTAAACTCAGTGTTTGCCGTGCTACTTGATCCTGAAGAATGCCAAAAGAAGAGATTCAATTTAAATGCTGACTTAGGCAAATTTCGTACTTACTGTAAGAATCTAATAGGTCAAGGTCAAGGTTACAGCCATTATCATAAAGTCGCTCTTCAGTAAAGGCAGGGTCTTGCTCTGGTTCTCGTTCTCGCTTTTGTTCCATGGATTGTGTGGACAATTGCTCCCAATAAACGACGCTGCGGTTGCTAAGTTCCCTTTCATCTTGGAATGTGACTGAACGCCTACGCTTTTCCCGAACCCCTTGTACTGTGCAACTGATTTGATGAATTATCGGTTTCTGATGGCTCGTCGAAGTGCTGGGCTTATTTTCAAAGGTGACCGGCTCATCGCAGAGCTCAGAGTTTGAATGGTTTGAATCTGGCAATCCAGTATGGACTGACAGAGCTTTATTTTCTACGGAGCCATCAGAGCTGATAACATTTTTAGTACTTCGAAAAGCTGTGGCCTGAGTGGCCTGATTATTTATTTCAGCACGTTCCTCTAGGCAACACTTGTATTTTGTATTAGCTGGGATAACCGGTAAGCTGGTCTGGCCTCCAAAGTCTTCGTACTTGCTATCACTATGGTTAGGGGTTGTGGTGTTATGTGCTTTGGACAGTTTACAAGTGGACGTGGAATTTGAAATTTGAATTAGTTTGTGTCGAATCCCTGGTTTATAATATTTGATCTTTCTTTGGCTTCCCCCTTTGCTACTCAGTGAGTTCCAAGGAATACAAATTCTAGCAGAGCTTGTTGTCTGGGTTATCTGCGATTTGACAGATCTACTGGTTGTTGGGTTGTTGTCAAACTTCGATGCATTTCTTGCTGAACCAACATAAGGACCATTTTCTTGTTCAGTTCCAAGAGTTCTCTGTTTGATACAGCTTATAAATATATGAAGGCCCTTCTTTAGAGGGTTTATTAAAGCACTTACCCTATCAGTTTCAGTGAAAGCCGTTTGCTCACGAAAAGTTGATGCTTTTTTCGAGTTCAAGTTAAGGCTTGGTGTTTTTGTTTGTCCTTCCCGCCGCTCCTCCTCATCGTCTCGAATGTTGGTTTGGGTTTGTTGTACATGGGATGGTTGTGTGCTATAGCCCGAAGTCATTAGCAAATATGGCATTCGATTTCTAGGTGACGTTTGACTGGACTGGTTACTTATTATACGTGGATGAGTTAATTGGATATCCGTTTGGGTTTCTTGGATTTTGGATCTGTGGCTCGAGTTTTCGCTACCCGATGGCATTAGATTTTTAGGCGTTTGACAGAATTGGTTATTCACTAAGTGCTTTATTTGTGGTCGATTCAATCCGTCATCCGTTTGAGCTCTTGGGGGTCTGTGGCTCGAGACCGGCTGAACAGGTGGCACTTGATTTTCCGGCACAATTGGTTGTCGATTGAAATGAACGATAATATTATCCGAATCCTGTTTTATTCGTGAAACACTTTCCACCTGATCATTACGCTTAATGCACAGAGTCTTACGCTTACAAGTTGTACTTTGCGCACCTTTATTTGACCCCGTCACCTTTATTTGATCTACTGATCTGAGTTGTCTCACACGTTCTACAGGTCCCTGCCGAGAGTTCCTAGTAGTAGCGGTAATCGGGTTTCGATTTAAAGAGCGATGAAGTCCTTGATTATAGGATGTAGCCAATTCAGTCCTGTTGACCATCTGTACAGGCAGATTTGTATAAGTCTGAGAAACATTAATCTCCGATTCGTTTTGGCTTGAATCCTTGATGGCAGTTTTATTATTTTCTGTATTATACATCTCCATATATTTGCGGTGCATGTGAATCTCGTCCATGTTCTCTGGTTGCTTTTTTACTGGCACGTATTTTTTAATGATCATTTTTTCTTTGTCTATTTTTTTAGTATCGTTTATTTGAGTTTTCTGCTTCCTAAAAGAAATCTTAATTATTTTGTCTACGCTTTTAGGGGGGTTTTGGATTTTCCCCTTTTCTTTACTACTTCCCAGCTTTGGCTGTTGTGGCGCAATGTAGTATTTGGGCAGCGTTTCTCTTTTAGATTTTAAACTACGCTTCAAAGCTGCTGCCGGTTCTGGATACCAGTTGCAACAGAAGTCCGCCGTATGCAAGTCTGTTGTACGCTTTCTATTACATCGGGAGTTGCATACCTCGCAGGCGCTCCCTTGGGGCATTAACATGTCCACCTGTTGGCAAACTGACCCTACAGGACATTGACAGTTGGGTGAACACGGCACGGGTCCGGGTAAGGCTGTCGGCATATTACAACTTATATAACTAGAATTGCTGGGATAACAATGCTGATAGCAGTCCGCCATGCGACATTCAGATGCAGCACCCATATTACAGAAGTCTCTCTGATAGACTGAGTATGCCATCGTTTTTTCATCGCAGCACCCATTGTTGCAACCACCGCACATTCGTGGTATCGGCTGATTGCATGAGTTGATTCGTTGACTATCAGTGCCAGCTGACACTGGCTTGGAATATAGCTCAATGCTGCTGTTCGATCGTGGCGAGGACATCACGCACATGGTGCGAAATTTCGGTTTCCTATTTCGAGTCTTCGGTGATCCGATTTCCAAGTCTAGCACCTCCTCCCAATTGGGTGCCATTGAACTATTGTCCAAATTGAATGTTTGCATTAGGTTTTCAGGATGGCCCATAGCCCCTTTCAAAAACGACCTACGGAAATTCTTCAATTTTCCTATTTCATTTTCAATCTTTTTGTGCAAGGCATCCACCTGCCCACTGGTCGTTAGTAACTCGGCCTCCTTGCAAGAGGAGGTATTCTTTCGAGATTTCTCTTTGCGCCCCCATCCATAGAGCTCATGAACCTGGGTTTGAGTGTTCTTAATATACATATCGCCATGACCTTTAATAGATATGCGCTGTTTTCTCTCTAGTAAGAGACCTTTAGCTATTCATTTAAGATTGATATTTAGTTAGAAAGTGTAGTTTGTGTACCTTGATCTTAGAACATACCCAATCCATTCTGTTTGTCCTTTTTTAAGTCCATGACCGGTTTTAGAGATATAAATATAATTTTTGTTTGTTTTTAAACTTGTAAAATACAATGGTGATAAAATGTGACTCTATTTCGAAATTATTTACATCAAAGGGTCTAACCTTTTAAAGCATGCTTTGTCAGATCGACCCATGTCCTTAATAGTTTACTTAGTTATCCCGCTGAATCAGAAACAAAGGCTTGATAAATGAAAGTTGACCACAATACCGAGACTCTTTAATTAAAGCTTTCAGCTCGGTTGAGATATAATATAAAATAATAATTAATATAATAAAAACAGAGATACACAGTTCACTTTGGTTTTATTTAATTTTTAAGGTGTCAATTGTGAACGAAACCACGTCTCGACACAGAGACGGAAACTTGCTGCCTAATGAGCACTGCTTTATTGTTTTATGTGGTATACCATAGATGGTGCTTTGCACTTGTGAAATGACTGGTGTCTGGTTATATGCGTTATTACACTGCTTGACGTAGTTTTTCGAACATCCCAATGTATGCACCGTTCAGTGTACAAAATGTACCTATATACATTGTACCTATCGTGAAACATCTGTCACATATATGAATCTAACGATGTTTCATCTAGCTAAATAATGTGACTTTCGAAATAAAATATTTACATCAAAAGCTCTAACCTTTTTAAGCATGCTTTGTCGGATCGACATATGTCTTTAATAGTTTACTTAGTTATCCCGCTGAATGAGAAATAACGGCTGGGTAAAAGAAAGGTGGCCACAATACCGAAACTTCTTTAATGAAAGCTTTCAGCTCGGTTATTAGTATGTGTATCACATAACAGCATATTTAATACACGAACTTTGAGAAATAATATAAAATAATAATTAATTTATGAATAAAAGTAATTTAAATCTTATTAGTGTTCGAATTAGTATGACGAGTAACAGATGTTTGGAGGAAAGATATACCCAGTTCACTTTGGTTTAATTTAATTTGTTATGGTGTCAATTGTGAACGAAACCCCGTCTTGACGAAAAGATGGAAACATGTTAACTAACGTGCACTGCTTTCTTGTTTTATGCGAAATACAATAGATGGCGCTTTGCACACGAGAAATAATTGGTGGCTGTCTACATGCATTATTGCACTGCTTGAGGTAGTTTTTCGAACATCCCAATGGATGCAGCGTTCAGTGTACTAAATGTACCTTTATACATTGTACCTATCTTGAAATATCTGTCCCATAGTTGAAACTAAATAATAAAATCTGTAGTAGTAGAACGTTATTAACGATTCATTAATATGTTGACGCCAAATAGTTATTGATAACATTTGATTCAACAATTTTTTCTAATCCCAATAAATAAGTTTTTATAGTAATTAACTGATAAGCCGCATTGAACTGATACTTTCACACAGAATGTATTAATATATTTTAGAAAAATATGTCAAATATATTTGCAAATATATATATAAAGGCTAAATCAACACAAATTGTTTTCTAGAAAAATGGGATGACGAGATTTTACAATATTCACAAAAGCTATTATTTATATTAATCATTGTTCAATTGCTAAAATTGAGACAAGAAGTAGAGCTATTTAAACTAAATGAGCAGATGGTACGGAATAATAATTGAAACATGATTTGTTAGTAGATTTAGTTTTGCTTAATTTTATCAAATATAGAGGGGATAAAAAAAGTAATTTTCTTTTTAATGTCTTCTTGTTTTATTCGTCAGATCAACTATAGAAATATTAAATTGAATTGAATTTGTCAATCGAATTCTGTTAACGTTCTTACCAGTGGCTGCACCACTGTGCACGGGCTATTTACTCTGCGCTTGCCGCACGCATGAAGATTAAGAGCCAATTCATTCAGTTGCCGACTGTCAGCTAACGCGCTCGCGGGTGTTGTGCGCTCTCGGCTCTTCGCCACTCGGAAAGTAAAGATTGTACGCAACGCGAATGTGGCAAAGTTTTGCTATGGAGAATTCGAAAATATCAATTTTCAATATCGGTAAACGGCCTTAAAATTGTGGAAATATGTGCTATAAGCAAGTACTAGTGTTAGTGAAGGAAAAAACCAAAGGGCAAGTGGCTCGAAGTGTTGTGACTTTGCGGCTGCTTGTTAAAAATGTGCGCCTGGTGAAGTGCCTCTGCTTTGGTTGTGCATCCTCGCGTGAGCTTTCGAAAAGTAGCGCCATTTGTAGTGACAGTTGGCTGGGGTGCATTGTTCCTTTCCACATATAGGTGCATGTGCATGTGTATACCCAAATCAAAGCTGGAGCCCGCTGGGACCCACCCAGCAGTCGGCTTTATGACATTTCACTGTATGCTGACAGCATATGAGTTAATATTTGTCTAGTTTTGTGTGCGTTTCCCTTTTGTCTTTTGACTTTTGAGATCTTTGTGCTTTGTCAGCGACTCATCGCCAGCATCCTGCCGCCTTTGTGCGGGACTTGCAACAAATAGCTCCACTTACACACCCACGCCGAGTGGAACCCTTTAGCAGGATATAATGCACTTGCATGCGATATTCGAGCTGGCGTGTGTGAGTGAGTGTTTGTGCATCTAGTAAGTGGGCGGTTCCAGTGCGCCGTAAAATATGCAATTAGAAGGACATCAAAGCATTACACCGCCAGCAGTGAAGCACCAAGACTTGGTATCATTAGTGCGCAGCCGTGTGTACATACTAAGTATGCAGTCTGTCAGTGTGGCAGTCGCTTTAAAGGCATGCCAGAAGTCGGCTGTGTTTTCACATCATTTATATATATTCTTATAAATTTTGTTTTATTTTCTGTTCACTTTTGATAAATGTGGCCGGCGACACTGTCGACGCTGTTCGCTTCCCGCGTCCCGTCAAGCCGCTTTATGCTCTGACTTTATTGCTTTATAGCACTTGCAAACGGCCAAACACGAGGTCAATTGGCTTAATTACTGTGTGACAGGGCAAGAGGAGAGGGGAAGGGCATGTGGGAGATGTGGGCGATGTGGTGTATTTTTAGAGGTCTTCGTATTCTTTTGAGATCACAGACCAGTCCAACAAACTTATACAATTTGTTTTTCGAATGCTGTGCTGAGCTTTGCCTTCGCATTATATTTAATAGACACATTTTCCACTATCTAGAAACAGAACATCACTTCAGACAGCAACCCCATTGAGTGGGTCCATCATCAGAATGTGTATCTATATCGAAATATCGGCGTTCAGTTCGAAAGTATTACGTATCTCCTGCACATTTACTTAAACGGACACGCTGCCCAGCCGGACATCTGTGTTGAATGCCATTAAATGGACGCTGGCACGTGAACTATTTCCGTTTCCTTTCGCCGATAAGCTAATGCTCGCAAAATGCACTTACGACAAGGGCGTTAAGAGCAACCACAAACTCTCTTATCAGCAACAGAAATACAAGAAACGAAACTCCAAATCAAGTGAATAAAAAATGCGGGTCTCTTGGCTGTTGCTCGCCATTGCACTTATAACGCTTAGTGTCGGTGCCCTAAAACTGGAGCAGCAGCAGCAGCAGCAGCAGCAGCAGAAGGAGGTAGGTCACAGTAGATCGGACGGCCACTTGCACACGGCTCTCCATCCGCATCGACGTAATAAAGTCACAGACTCCAGAGTTCGGCCACAGCTGCGAAGGGGCAAAAATAGTCGACCTTTCAATAGCCGGAAGCAGGAGGAAGAGGCGGAGACGGACGAGGAGGAGGGCTATGACTGGATCGATGTGGATATCAGCGATGCAGATGACCAGTCCAAGCCTGCCACAGCGAGCACTGCTCCCCATGGTAAGTCAACAGCAACAGCAAAAGCGCCTTATCAGCTCAACTACTATATGAATGGTTACCCGATGACCCCGCTTTGCCGCTCGGAACTTCAAACGAAACCGCTTATCAGCTGCTTAAGTTTGCACTGACTCAAGTCTGGCTGATGGCATATTGCTGTAGCATCCACAGAGGCAAACAATAATACAGTGAAGCATCTATTAACCAACTCAGTATCAATTCGGTAAACCGAAAATCCCATTCAAGTGAATTTTTATTTAGAAAATGCTTTTAATTTATATAACTCTTATAGCAATAACTGTTCTGTTACTGTTAAAATATAGCTTCGTTTGATAGAGCCCTGGATACTTATCCAACAGTTTCATGCAATGCTTAAATACTTTGGTATTCCAAAAAACTCATTGAAAATTGTTTAAAACTTTTGCCGTCCAATGTCACCGAAATTTTATTAATCAAGACACACGAACATATTGGAATGATATGTGTGCATATATATCTCTATTTAAATATGCCATGGCAATGTTGCTCATCCGCTAGCTTAATCAAAGGCAATATACAAGAGAGAATGAAATGTTTTAATTGAAAGTGCCCGATGATGAGTAGCTATAGGCTTGCATGCGAGTATGTATACAGATATATACATACATATACCAAAGAGCAGTGGCGTATGCCACAGTTTCCGTGGAAGGGTACTATCTAGATTCCTTTTTGTTGCATGCCCCAAACTCTGTTTACTCATCAAGATGTGAGAAAACGCAACTTGTATTTAATTATTTCAATAGAACATAAGAATATATATCACAATCAATATTCCTACAGAGATTTGAGATTCCAAAACGTAACTATCATTTTCTATGGGCGTCTTTTTCCTTTTGACTGTCTTTGAATTTTGAAGATCCTATAAAAAGGGTTTTATGGTTGCGTACTATTCTAGGTTCATGTTAACCGGGTAGGCGCCACTGTCTACATGCCAAATGCCAAATGCCAAATGCCAAATGCCACATCCCACATCCTATATGCCACAAGCGCATGTATCTGAGTGTCGTGTATGAATCTAAATTGAAACTGTGCCAAAGCCCTATTTAAGCTACACGACGAGCGGCTGTTTACGCTGCTGGCTGCTGGCGCCAGCATATTCCACATATATGCAGCATCATCCCGAGCTTCTGCTTCAGCTACAGTCGCAGCTGAACAAGGCGTCGGCCTGAGCAAACCACATGCCATCAATACCAACACTCGCAGCGACCACTTAATTTACGCGCTGAAGTGAATAATGGCGAGCGTATGATAAATTTGTTAGATTTCCAATGAAATGCGATTTTATGGGCTGCACATATTTGTCGTTGGCGGTGCTTAACTCGCTATCGCTTGCAGTTGGAAAGTTGCAAAAAGGGCTCTGACCATGGCTAGATTTGCGACGAGTGATGCCTCGCATGCCAATGCCGTTGTGCGTCGGCATTATCAATTCATTGGCCATCATTAGAAATGCTTTGCATACTAACAAATTCTGAATGCCGACGAGTTGTTCACATTTATTGTTTACTTGTTTTGACTTGTGCATAACAAATGATAATAAAATGATTATTTATGAATGAATTGGGAATAAAAGATTAGCTAGCCTCTACGGTGGCCATGCCTCAATGTGGCAGCTTGATTCTTCACGCAGTCTGTGGCAAATCTGAGCTCTATAAATTAGCGGCGGCATTTGACAAGCTTGTGTCCCAAGAAATACAAAAATCGCCCAAAGTAGCTGCTATTGAGACGTTTCCTTTATTTATAGGCTACATCTGCCTCAGTGCTTAGTGCTTGGCTGCTGGCTGCTTGGCTGCTGCTGCTTGGCTGCTGGGTGCTTCGGCCTGTGTTGACAGCTACTAAGATCATTGGCCATACAATAACCGACGCCGCGCAAAGACTGCGCAACTTTGCAACTGTAATAAAAATAGCACTTGACGAGGGCAAAATAAAAACAAGCCGAACTGAAAGCGACTAACGAATACCCTGTAGGGAAAGCTGTTGCTTAGAAATGTTTTCTATCTTTTCCAGACAGATACATATGCAAATGTGTATTTATCTATAGATGTCAGCTCCTGAAGTACTGGGCATAGGTACATGATAGTCTTATAAATAAACAGGGAGTATTGCCCCGCAGAAGAAACTTGTTCGCACACTTGTTCTTACACACTTTAATTGTTGAAAAATAGTTTTTTAATTCAAATAAAGATTCAATGGGGAAACAGCGCGTGGAAATCAAAAATGATTTCTCAAGACTTCAAAGTAAATGCTCTAAAATTAGTCATAAACCAAAAACTGTCGCACTCGACTGGCGAAATAGACGGGCACGCCAAAAATATGGGAGGTTGTGGAAGAGGCGGTCAACATGGGGAAACACGCACTTGTGCCCGCGCTGCCTGGCCCACAGCCAATGCACACACTTAATTAATGAGTTGTGCTTTTGATGTTTTGGGAACTTACGCAGCTGGCAACATCCCTGCCGAGTCTGAGTCGAGCTCCCCTTCCGCCAGTTGCCCGCCGCACAAGATGTGACAAAAGCGACATTTTTCACGCACTCAACGAAACTCTTTGAACCCGCTCCAGACCCACTGCAAGTGCAACTGTCACTGTTGGGCTGGGCTGTTGGCTAGGGTGAGGCATGTGGCGCACATGTTGCACGTTAGTTGCGTGCAGCGTCAAAGTTCTACACCCAATGAGAAATCACTAAATGATGCCAGCCAGGGCAATCTAAACGGCAACTACTTAATAAGTGATCACTCAGACTGCTTAGGCACAATACGCATTAACACACACACAAGTGCCCACTGAGCACCTCCGAGTACTTGAGTAGATAAGATGGCAATCGGTGTGAATCGAACTAATTGTGCCCAGGGATCGTTGAAGTCATCCAACGACAACGACACCGATTCTGTGCTGCATGTGTGATGTATGCCTTGTGCCTCACATGTCAGAAATGTGGCAAAAGCTGCGGCTGCAAATCAGGCATTTTTGCAAGCTCTGCCACTTTTTGACAGGCATTTTAATGAGCTCGAAATTGCATTTTGCCAGCCGAGGCAGTGTGAGTCTTGCATAAAATACTAAATTTATATTGCTAAGAAGACACGATATGAAGTGAATAAAAAAGCTTCAGTCTCTTTGTTTCTCTTCTCTTTGTTTAATGCGTACAACTAGCTGATTCGAGTTGGAGCACTAGACTAAAGGATTACTTAATTTCTTCTATATATCTGAAAACAATTATCTTTATCTTGCAATGTTTTTCTCGATCAGTGTCTGAAAAAATGGGATTATATTTGACATTTCATTGGTGTAGCTTTAATAGGACGCTTTAATAGCTGACGAACCAGTAGTTGATAGCGAAGTTTAATGGAGATAAAATCGGGAGGTTCGCAAAAAGCTACACAGATAACTTGCTCATAAAGGTATACAAATAGAAGCAGTTAAGAGTGCACTAGGCGAGAGGGCTCGACTAGTAGATACCCTAACCAGGAGGACACCCAATACACTCTCTGCCAACTGCGCAGTCTGAACTTTACTATAGGAACTCAATTGTTGAGATGAGCATAATTATATCATCCAGATGCTTCTATGCCAAAGCACAAGGCGGAGTTGTCCAAAATATCTATATTCATTGCAAGAACCCACAAAGTAAATCTGAATTTTCCAATTTTAACGGTATTTAAGCTTAATCGAGTTTTATCGCTATTAAGGTAATGGAATCAGTTTAAAAAAAAAGGTAAAATTGTATTGCATATGGTATAAACTAGTATTCATTTAAAAGCCTCTACAGGCAGACGGACAGGCACTCAGACGAACAGACGGTCATCATCGTTCTGATCAAGAATATATATACTTTCTGGAACTTGTTATGTCGCCTTTTGCCTGTTACATACATTTTCTTATAACCATTATACCCATTCCCGTTATACCCATTAAACTGAATCCCGTTTTCGATGTGATCAGGGTATAAAAAACCAAATAAAACTAAACTACAGCAGCTAGAAATGCATTTGATCACACATTAAATCAGTTTGGGTTCATGTGGACACAAAAGGGTAACTTGCAGCTTGCAACAAATGGACTGATTTGTATTTTAATTTTATATTTGCAGATGTCTTCACATGTTGCAACCAGGTCTTTGGCTCATGTCGCACAGCATGCGAGAACGTAAGTAGCTGAGATCGATAAAGGTTCAACGAATGCCTAGTTCTTACATGAAAGTCTTGGGACATAGGTAGAATACATTATAATACACACACACACACACACACACACACACACACACACAGTGCGGTCAACGACTATTTTGATCAGATGATAAGGCGAGAGACTACTGTGTCCGAACATTTCCTGGTATTTAATGCCTATCGGAATGAGCTGCATACTAAACCAAGCGCCAGCGTGTTGTAAAAAAGTTATTAGAATGCATTGTACGCGTTGGGCTCAGAAAATTAATATGACAGCCAAGTCATGTTGCGAAGAAAGAACTTTGACAGCAACATCCGTTGTTGTTATTGTTGTTGATACTGCTGCCTTGTCCCGCAACGAAGTCCAGGCGCGAATAACTAGCTAATATTGCACATATAGCTGAAATTCGAGCAATTACATTGTTAATTAGCATCAACCACAAACAGGTAATTGCAACAAGACCAACCAACGACCAACCCAACCTGTTTGCCACTAAAAGTCATTCATAAGTTTAAGCATTGGAGTGAAAACAAGAAGCAGCGATTAGCCAAGCTAGTGGACTTCTTAATACTCTACAAAAACTATAATTTGGATTATTTTTAATGCAATGGCAGCAGAAGATCAAAGAGCAACTAGGATCAGCAGTTCTCCCGAAGGATTTTCAAGTGGCGACTTCAAACTATAATTGCCTCTAGTTACGTCAGCTTTTAAATTTTTAGTATTGATAATAGAAAGATAAATGTGATAAATGCAAAATACCTCTGCCAAAAAGATTATATCTATTCGAGATGTCATTGGCCATTATATAAAACGAAACCAATCGGCCGTTAAGCGGAGTAAGGCTGGACTAATATATAACGCTTATATTAAAAGTTCAATACATTGAAATATATTCTTATATTTCATATCTGGATTTTAAATGTCATTTATTAATTAATAATTGTGTATAGAGGTGCAGTAGTTAGCTTAAACTTGAAGCATTTCAATGCTTAATTTGCTCTAGCCGCTAAGATCCTTGTCTAGATTGCCTTCAATACGTCTCTATTATTGTTGTCAAACTCATTCAGTTGTTACACAAATATACATATACTTGATATAAATAGAATTTGATAGACTTTTTATAAGGGTATACATACAGAGGCCAGTTACCAGTGCTGTTGCCATTGCCGGTGCCGGTGCGATGCTAGTGCCGTTGCTCTCAGCCCAACCCCTCACTAGTCGACCCGCAATCAAATCACTGACATCATTTAAATTTGTAATCATAACAATTTCTAAAACCAATTAGTTGCTGCAACAGTTTCTCGTTTGTTGCAGCAGAAAACGGGTTGAGTTTTTCATTTATAAATGCAAATGAAGGCATTAAATCTTTGCTGAAATTGAATCCGACAAAACGACAACTAAAGGATAATATCTGCTTCCAGACCGGTTTAGTGCACTGGGTGCAGCAGCAGCAAGGCATCAGATGGAAACCAGAAACCCCAATAGAAACCGAAAAGAGCAATCAAATCTACCCAAAAACGTGTGAAAAGTCGAACCTGATTCCCTCTGGCTGATAATTTCACATATTTTCCGCACACATTTTTATTGTTGTTACTGCCAAAATCCCCCTCTTCCAGTCTGTTGCAGGCGTGGCGAGACAATAATCGTTGCAAGTGCGACTATCTAGATGGCAGACAGCCCTAGAAGATGTAGCAGAAGTGTCCAATGAAATAGTGAACCTTTAGTATTCCGATCACTCATTATGTTATGAATATATTATGATAGGTAGTCTCGAAGCACGCCTATCCGTAAAAAGCCATGGCACTTCCTCTGCCCAAAGGAAGTTGTCCAATGGATGCGATGTATGTAAATTGTGAACAGTGCGACGACTGAAAGACAGGAGAGGCGTATTGTATCTTTAGTAGACATCGACAGACTCAGATTACTGCGGAAGATAAGCGGGCCGAAAAATTTGTTGCTTCGTTATTGAAGTATTCTCGCCTTATTTATGAGACACTCGCTTGCCCTCAGCAACGAACAACATCTCAAATGTAACATAATACACGTGCTATGTTAGAGACAATGGAAACGATAAAACGAAGTGCAGGGTATACCGAGGCGTTTTGGAAGTGTTGAATACTCCATGATGTCGATCGTATAGAACAGCCTAAACTATTCGAGCAGAGCAACAACTGCAATTTCAGCCTGGAATCATTCTCAACTGTTAAGACAAAAACTCTAAAATGAAACATGTTCTCAAGCTCTATATATTTAACAATTGGCACTGCATATAATATTAGGTACTAAGTTAGCTATGATAGATGGACTTCATCTACAGCATAGCTGACGAAGAGGAGGTCATGAAAATTCTAGTCCTATTAAGAGAATGCAAAACAATTAAAACAGTGGAGTAGAATCAATAAGAGTGGAAAAAGTATTTGTTACTTTCATTGCCAATACGAATAAAACAATAATATGGAAGTACGTATAAGAAGAAAATTACATATAACTCAGAAACTGTAAAAGTAGGTCAACGAAATAGTGAAAAAACTTTTGAAAACAGAGCTGTTTGGTAGGGGAAGGTATCGATGGGAACGGCATGTTCCTCGGAGGATCACTGACGGGTATAAGTTATATATAAGTTAGATGATACATTCCAAAACTATCAAAAAATGTTTGAAATTGATTAATAAACTGATAATCAATTGAAGGAAATCCAATACATCAAAAGAATTACTTTTAGAATTACCTTCGTCAAATAATGAGAAACGTCTTTATGAAATCTTGAATACCAGCGCAACCTAACGAAGTCGAAAATACATAGAGGTCTATAGAATATGCACTCGTATTTAATAATAATAATACCATTTTCTTTCAGATATCGTTAGTTCAATTGGACTCTGGAAACGGACGTGAGGAGTCTCAAACAGAATTGAGAAAATACTGCCAGCTGCATCAACTGGAGTTTTGGAGCTGTATGAATCGCACTCTTGAAGGTAAGTGCGATTAGCAGTGCACAAAAAGTTGTTCCTTAATGGCATTTCCAGCGGTTGACAGAGGTAAATCTTGGTCTGGCCGTCGATGCTGCAAAGTGGCCGTTCTGCCGAAGTGCAAAAATTCCTGCGCAACGGCAGCTGCCAGCCACGAGCTGACTGAAGTCTGCCGGCGCAGCGATGAGCAAGTGCTCTACGATTGCTTTGAGCACCAGGAAGCAGCGGACAGTTGCTGTGGCAAGGCGCGCACCTCGGAGTGCCTTCAGGTAAACAATATGCAATAAATAATGCACGCTGCATACACTTTATAATAAGTACAGTATAACTTCGTTGAGATGGACAAATAGTTTTGATCGAACATTCCCCTACCTTCAGAGCTGATCGTCTATAGAAATGACAGATTCTTGGCGAAGAAACTAGACTCGAGACACTTTGTCCAAGGAACTATAAAGCCTAGAAAGTATATCGCAATATTTAAATCAAACCTATTTCAAATTTCTATTCGCCTAGGATCGCTCATAAAATAATCAAATTCAGTTGGCACCCGAGAGCTGTGTAGCTTGTAGACCCAACTCAAATGAAATGGTTTTCTACAGTTTTAAAACTATAAACTGAAAGATTAGATTATTGATGTATTATTGAGCTCCTCTATTGAGGGCATACCCTGTATACCCTGTATTTTCCACAGCTTAGGAAAGTAAACAGTTATGGATTGGTCAAAAAATACTTGCTCATGCCTACGCAGGTCGTGACTAATATATTAATAATACAGCATTTCAAGTATTATATATGTATTTAATATATGTATATTTACCCCTTGAGGACGTGGCGAAACGGACAGTTGGTATGACCCGACTGGAATATTTGTACTTGTTTGATTCTGTGAATATACATAATTAACATAATATATGTATTATTAATTATTATTTATTATTTATTATTAATTATTAAAAGGCTTGTCGCGAAGTCTTTGAGCCCCCAAATGAAACGGGATCCTCCAATACCAATAGCCAGCTGGTAGATGAGACCTGTGGGGCACGGAATGCCGATGTGCTACAATGCATTCATAATCACACGCACATGACTCCTCCGCTGGACATTGAGAAATGTAAGGTGCTAGTATGCAGGCATCTAAATATATATATATATATATAAATCTATATGATCTATGATTAATTTAAATTCTCTCCAATAGACTTGCCATGCTGTGAGTATAGCCGCGATGAGAAGTGTCATCATACGTGCAACACAGTGCTGCATGCATCCAAGTTGCAACAGAGTGTCGAACGTAGTGACGTACTCTTTGCGCGTCTTGAGGCAGGTTGCGGAATACCGTTACCTCATCTTCCCTTTTGGCAGTGCTTTCTGACGGTCACTCGCAAGTTGTATGTGCCTTCACAAGGTGGACAGGTGACGCAATGGCGTCCCAAACTGTTCTCCAACGGAGCCGACAGCGACGAGCCCAATAAACTGGGCATCGATGCAGCCAAGCGCCAGTGCTGCGAGCATGCCAGCAGCCACAAGTGTCGCCGGCTGTGCACCCAAATATTTACCAACGACTGGTGGGAGACCCGTGCCAGCTTTGATACCGAGTGCTTGGAGCAGCCGGCTGAGCTGGATCTAAGGCGTTGCATTGAGAGTGTAGACGCGCCCTGCGAACTGGGCTGTCAGGGATTGAGCTTTTGCAGCAACTTCAACAATCGCCCAACTCAACTATTCCGCAGTTGTACGCCCGCACATGATGCGGCGGCCCGCGAAGATTTTATGCTATTGCAGCAGCGCGGTTTTATACGCGTTTTGGGCCAGGAGCTTTACATAAAAAACACGACACGCTGTGCTCCCGACAAATGGCAAGCTCTTGTCTGCGCCTTACAGCTGCAGCCGTGTACCCGAGTGGGTCTGTACAATGGGATTTGTAGAGAGGATTGCACTGAACTATTGGACGAGTGCCTGGATTGGACTAGACACCCACAGCGACCACAGGCGATCTGCGAGCGACTGCAACCGCCAGCAGCGACAGAGGACGAAGAACCAAAACCGTGCATATCAATACGCACCTATCTAAAAGACAGCGATCCAGCTGAAGGGTGGAGCGAGGGAGAAGCCAAGACGGGCTTGACAATTAACTCACCCTGTGCCTCCAAGCCTTGTAATGCCAGTGAGGTGTGTGTGCCACAGCGTAACGGTAACCAAGGCTACTCCTGTATTCCGGGCTGTAGCTTGGGCCAGGCCTCTGCGTTGAATGTGCCCTTTGGGGCATATGTTCGGGTGGGCAAAATGATTAGCCCAAGCAGTGGTATTGGCCTTGCGAGTAGCCAGCTGCTGAGTGCGGAGTACGTGGTCTGCCGTTGTGGTATGCGTGGCATTGTGGATCAGTGTCAGCCGCTCCCCAGCTACACCCATGCGCACTGCGTGCTGCCGGGTGGACGGAGCTTTCGTCACGGCTCATCATTTTACCTCGAATGTAATCTGTGCAGTTGCTTTGCCGGTGAAATAACCTGCACGAAGCAGCAGTGCCGTCTTCCGGGCTATGTGGATGTAAGCTATACCAGCTTACCCTGCAATTGTCCTGCCCACTACGTGCCGGTCTGTGGGGTCAATGGCAACACTTATCCATCCGCTTGTGTGGCTAAGTGCCTGGGCTTGCCCGAGAACAGTTTTGTGTATGGAGCATGTAATGCTCGCAATGCATGCCAGGCAGGCTCTGCTAGCTGTCCATCTGGCACTCAGTGTCTGGAAAAGCGACAAGTGTGTCTTTCCAGCATGCAAAGACCATGTCCACAATACATTTGTGGTAAGTAAAACGCTGTTGGTTGGACTAGATTGCGTTACTATTGCAGTGTTACTATTGCAGTGAATGTGTCCTCTTCTGGCTGTGGCATTCACCATGCGAAGGAGCTGTGCGATACGGAGGGCAAGACGCATCCTAATGCCTGCTCTCTACTGCAGGGTAATTTTCAATTAGCCTATTGGGGAGCATGTCGGCCGGAGTACGAAGTGAACAATGAGTTGTCCGAGCTAGTCTGTGGCATTAATGGAGTAACTTATCGGAATAGCCTTGCTGCATTGGCCGATTATGTGACTGTCGACTATGTAGGCCGATGTCGCGAGGTCGGACTGCTGGTCAACGATATGGGACGTCGCTGTAGAACGGTGAACTGTCCGAGCCTTCCCTCAAAGCTTTGTCTACAGATTGTGCCGCCTGGGGCTTGCTGCCCCATTTGCGGAGGGGCCGCATTTCGAATCATATACTCCCGCAAACAACTAGACAGAGCTTATTATGCACTGCACGGTCAGCACAGCTCTTTGTTGACTCTACATGGCATTCTGCAGGAGCTAGATCACCTGGTTCAAGTCAGCGACTGCCAGCTGACCGGCTTTCTCACCATGGAGGTGGGCATCTTTGTGGCGCTTGTGCCTCGTGATCGGCCAAATTCACTGCAGCTGAAGGTCTGCGCGATAGAAGCAGAGAAAATTTCAGCCCTGATAACCTCGCAATCACCACGGATTACTACCAATCTGGCGCTTTCCAGCCTGACCGTTTCCCATATGCTGGAGCCCACAGTTAATGCCGGCGTATTAATGCCATCCCAGGGGATTGGTATTTTGGTAATTGGACTTTTGATCGGCCGCACTTTAGTTATTTAAGAGTGTAATTTAAAAATCAAGTGAATTCTTGGTGCCAAACATTTAACAGTTAAGTTAGCAACCCCATCGTGCCTTTAGCAGGTAGGGATTGACCCTCTGTATAATGTGATATTAGCAAAATTACTTGTTGAAATGTATGGCAACTCACATTAAAGACATGGATACGAATATAATGACTAAATAGTAGATACTTCTAAGTTTCAAATATACCGACCAAAGCAGCGTTATTTACCTATGCTTACAACTAGTCTAATGTAATGTAATATACTAAAATAAACACGTTTTATAAAGCACACCAAATAGAAATCGCGCTCCCGTTTTAGTTTTTCTTTAATATAAAAAGTTCTTTATTTCCCTTTGAACTTCATACATATTGAAGGCATTGATACGTTGTGTTTAATATTACTTAAATCATAAACGCATGCCTTAAGAGACTTCCATTGGAACAACCTGCACTTTTTCGGTGATCAACAAATCCTTAATAGTTGTGTGTAGAGTGGCTGAAGTGCCCTTTTTGAATCTGTAGTCTATCTGGCGTTCGCCTTTCTTGTTGGCTAACTCATAGTTCCGCAAATACTCAGTGCTGTCTTTGCGAATCACGCATAGATCCACATTTGATCCAGATCCAAGATCATTAAAGATGCCAGATGCAATAGCATCACGCACCAAAAGTTTGCCTTCCTCCTCCGATAAGTCAGGCTTCCAACGACTCTCGAAAACGGTCATAGCTGCTAAGCAGCCTGATCCCATGGTTGCGTAGGGTAATTTATCGGAGCTACCGTGGGGATGAATGGAATATATATGCGGTCCGTTCTTATCGACACCTCCCAAGACCAACGCGGCGCTAATGTGGCCCTGGTAACGAAATAGCATTTGCTTGAGTATGTTGTTAGCACATACAACAGGCACCTGTCGCTCCGTATTGAGCCGATGGAGCTCCAGCTGGGATGAGATTAAGTCCGTGGTCATCTCCGTATCGGCGGCAGTACCGGCACCACAGCAGCTAAACCAATACATAGATATATTTATATATATATATATATATATATATAGAATATATAGTTAGTATTTTCCTACTTACTAAATGTTTTTGGCCAAATAATGGATCTTGGCGCAGTTTTTATCAGATACAATGGGTCCTTCAGTGGCACGAGTGTCAGCACCCAATATAACACCATCCTTGTAAATGATACCAACAATTGTGGTGCCCGTTTTTGTTGTTGTCGGTGGCTTGAAACCGCCTTGTAAGAGGGCAGCATTGCTGAAATTATAAAAATGTATGTGAATTCGTAAAAGTAAACGCCAACAAATATTAATTTTACCGCCGGCAATTATCAAAGTTGAAGCCAGCACGGGGCACGTCTGGAGCACTATCCAAAGTCATGTTGAATTAATATTATATTTCTTCAAAAATTATAAGGAGAATGACAGTGCAAATGACAGGCACAAATTGTTTTTTAATCGACAAAGGTTTGCAAACTCTGAGTTTGAATATCGATAGAAATCTATCGGTATGTTGCGATTAATGCATCACTGTGACTAAAATGTAACATTTTATATGTATTTGAATAGATGTGTGTGATCTATACTGTTAATATTAAATTAAACTAAAGTTGCATTATGATGATCTTGCCATTTCTGTAATATTACCATGAAATAGTGCCTATCCATGAATTTTTATATCAGTTTATGTAAGTGCTACTTTTACTTAGGTCACAATAGTGCTTAGGAATTGTTGAAACAAATAGTAACAGCATGTCACTGTTAATATACTCAGTATTGTTTAATCGTGTTATGTTCCAGACCTTAACAGATGTTAATGCTTTACTGACTTGTGTATTAAAATAATAATTATATTATTGACAGAAATTCGATGGCTGCGACCACAAAACTGTTCAGGAAATCATTGGGCGCCCTTACGCAAATACAGCAATATCGAAGCATTGGTAAGTCACAACACACAGAAATGTTTTGAATGCCGCATGTGGAACCTTTATGTAATGTCGGCGGCTTTTGTATTCTTTTGCTGTGTTAGATTAAGTTATTTACTAGTTTTTGTAAGTATAAGTTGGAACTAGTTTTTATTAACCATATTTATAACCATATAAAAACATTAATACTTACTTATTTCATAAATTTTAGCAAAGCTACCGACGAGTGCCTCAAGTGCACAGCGGAATGAACTTTTCAATCTAGAGCAGCGCCGTCAGCAGGATGCGATTGGCCGAGTTGAAAAGATCGAAGTGCGTTATTTGGGTCTACCCGAGGACGTGACACTGGTCATGAACAATAACATTTCGACTCCATATAATTGCGCGCAACATTTGAGCGAAGGCCACTGCAAACGGAGTGCGTTAGCGTTGATAGATGGAAGTGTTCCATGGGATATGCACAGACCTCTGCAGGAATCCTGTACGCTGCAACTGCTTAACTTTAATGTATCTGATCCACACATAGTTAACAAGTGAGTGAAAAGAACACGGTTATAGTGACGGTAGACTAATGTTAATTCATCATTATAGAGCCTTTTGGCGCACATGTAGCTTCATGCTAGGTGCTGCCTTGCAACGAGCTTTTAAGCAGGAAGCTAATCTACAGTTGCACAGTTTTCCGGGACCAAATAGTGAGTTTTACTCTCAGCTATCGTTGAACAATAATTAACCCACGACCATTTTCAGTTAAATCAGGAAGCTTTGTGCACGACATCGTGCTTGGCGTGCAAAACTGGGAGCCGACCAAAGCTGAAATGCGAGCCATTTCAGCAGAAATGGTTAAATTGGCGGCGCAGGACTTACGCATCGAGCGCTTGGAGGTGGATCTGGATTTAGCAAAGGAAATGTTCTCAGATTTACGCTTTAAAAGCGAACAGTTACCAAGTATTGCCCAACAGCATCAGAGTCGCGTAACGCTTTATCGGCTTGGCGAACATATTGATATTTCGCGTGGTCCGATGGTAGGCTCCACCCGTTTCCTGGGTAAATGCACTGTGGTAGCGGCACACAAGTTGGCCAACGAAGGTGCATCAAACGCTTTTTACCGAGTACAGGGCGTGGCCTTGCCCACAGGCTTTGCTCTGAATCACTTTGCATACGGCTTGCTGGAACAACGCGCTCAGAAGCTGGTTAGTCTGAATACTAATTAAAGTCAGCTCTTTATATCGATTAATTCATTTTTTTATTATTTGCAGAACTCCGCTCGTTTACCCACTGAACCCTTCGAGGAACAACGACAAATGCAATTATCTTAAATTAAAATAAAAGCTTTGTATATTTGCAAGAGGTTCTTTAATACTTAAAACTATAGTCTATAAATATGGTTACAACATACATTAAACATCGTTATAAAGAACTTAATAGTAAAAATATATTTTTTTTTACATTTTTTGTTATAAATTCGGCAATTATATCTGAACGATATATAAAAATACCTTTTAATAGTCGTATAGATACATATAAAACTTTAAAATTGGGTTTATCTATTGTGCAGTATTGGTATTTTATACAGATTATTATTGTTTATTAAAACATAGACAGTAAAATTGCATATTTACTCGTATACATAGAAGCAGGAATATTTATGCGAAATAGTTAAGAATATGGCTCGATATCTGGGTTTTAACTCCTCGGCAACTACACACAACCAAATATGACGTCTTATTTGTTTATATTTATGCTTTTTTACAGTTTTTTTAAGTCATTTGATTTTCATTTAGGTAATTTTAACTATAAGTCTACTATGGTGACAGCAAAAAGGAATCTATCAACTTTATTTCTCACGCCATTTACAGTCAACGGAACACGAAGAGACAAGAGACAATATTTACATAAGTTTGTCAAACAAATATTTAATGTGACTTAACTAAACAACCAATAATATTTTCAATGGTTTTTTGTGTTGCTTAAGAGCGATTTAAAGTTAGGCACAGTTGATCTTTTAAACTGATTACAGATAAAAATGATTAATTAACAGTCTGGAAGGTGATGCAAGCGCTGTTCTAGTTTTTTGATTGAGATTCTAACACAGTGAGACGGAGACAGTGAGCAACTTAAAAACTTTGAAATAAGCCCTCCAAATCTTGCTCGTTGACTGCTATGATTAACATTATAGCTCCACCCAAGAAGATGCCTAATATCTGAATGAGAATGCCTTTTACATCGTTAGCCTGATTTGGATCGTGAGCCACACTCATCGTAGGCACCAGATCGGCAAAGGCTATATATAAGAACGAGCCCGCAGTTGCCGCATAGATCCACTGCGTCATGTCATTGCCTATGCCAACAAGTAGCAGACCAATGGACATGCCCACAAAACTCAGCACCGAACTAACAATGTTCATATAGACGGCGCGACGTATAGATACGCCAGTTTGTAAAAGCAAAGCAAAGTCACCTAGCTCATGGGGCAGTTCGTGGCACAGGACGGCAAAGGCAGTGGCTAGCCCTGTAACGGGATCACTGGCAAAGGCGGCTCCTATTGCCAGACCATCGGTGAGATTGTGAAGTCCGTCCCCAATAATGACCATGAATGCCACGGGCGTTAGTGGACGATTTGGGGACTTCTGATCTTCCTTTGTCTCGTGCAGCATGACATTCAGTTCACGAGGTGCCGGTGCTTCTAGTTTTGCGTGCACTTTATCCACATCCTGCGAGCCGTGCATCTGAGTGTGTGGGTGACCGTGTCCATGTCCATGACTGTGCCCATGGCCAGCCTTATCGCCTTTTATGATCGGAATTATGTTTTCCAGCACATACATGAACAATGCCGCAAGAAACGCACTGCCACAAAGCAAGGCCGCCTCCGCGCTGTGCTTGTGGCCCTGCTCCTTGTCTTTCAAGCGAAGAGGCCCCAATGCCTGCTCGTGTTTCTCTTCCTTGAAGAGAGCATGTGGCAGCAAGTGCATAAAGGCGTCTCCTGCAAGGGTGCCCACGGCTATCGCGACAAGGAACTTTAGTATTTTCTGATAAGCGATCGTCTTCATCAGGGGCACGAGCAAAATACCCAAAAGTCCGCAAGCTTCAAAGTGATTTTTTGCTTAGTGATTTGAGAGATTTGAGACTTTAATGCGATATTTACCTGAGAGCACAAACATGGAGATGCTTGCGTATATCCAAGCTTAAAATAGTAAAATTAAAATATTAAAATATTATTTAAAGACTTCTTCTACAAACTTACCGTTCCAAATCCGTTTCCCTCTTTCGGTTTCTAGATGCCTGGGATGGGGCGCCGGCTGAACACAAACTCCATTATCGATCTGTGCGAGCAGTGCCGGGCAGAGCTTCATGAAGGCGCCAGGCGTGATTCGAACGTTGTTGATGAACTCATTGTACTCCTCCTCCCAATTGTGCTCTTCCGTCTGTACTATCTGCCTGTACATTGGACCGCGGTGAAGATCGTTGTGATCCACAATCAGCGACAGAAGCGACTTTGGCGATAGGCACGCGGCCTCAGGGAATGGTGCTCCATCGGCGCTAACTGTAGACGCAAAACAGTTAGTGCTAACATATTAACCAGAGATCTCTGCCATCCTAATTAATAATGCCAAGTACCATTTTATGTACCGAAGGATTGTCATCTGATTCCCATCCCCTGGAATATTTAAATCTACGTATACAACCAAAATTTGGTTTTGGTCACATTTTGGAGTTGAAGCTCGACTCTCAAGTCTCTAAAACTCGAAAAATGTACCTTTTTATCGAAGTGTCGAAATGTCGGGAGTAGCAGACCAGAAGATACCCTGAATCAATCAACCTATACTTATTTCATAGCATACTAACATTATGGGCGTGAACTTCCTAAGTTATTAATTAACTTGTTGCTACTTATTTACATATTTACATCATCAAAAATCAATCTCGTTTCAAGCAGTGAACAATATCTATTTAATTTTTTTAAAAATATGGATTCACGTTGAAATAAATATATATTTCTAGTAATGTAATAAGCGATACATTTAAGGAAAGCTTTATGAAACAGATCCAGACGGCAACAGGGAATTAAAAGTGTTTCCGCTTGTCAGCTTTGTTCAGTTAAAGGTCGAGTACAAATGGGCAGGTGTAATTTGAAATGAACGGTAACAGCGCTTTTCATTTCCTTAGTTCATCTGTCATACATATATTATAGCTAAGCCATTATAGTTGCGGGTGATTTGCCTGCCATCATGGATATCGCCTCACTGACTGTTTGTTGACATTATTTTAACGCGTTCAGAGATATGGTTGACACACACTCATGTGCAGCACTCATGTATGTAAGTTAGCGCAAAACTGTTTATTTACAGAAGCGTATATGTTTCGTAGATATAAATTATCTGTATTTATCTAGAATTAAGCTTTAAGTGTAAGGAAACAATGCACGCAGCCCCACTTATGATCTGATTGCCGGTGTTTAGCTCTGGTGTAAAACTAAACGTCGCATTTGACAAGAAGACAAGAGGACAAAGAAGACAGTAAATTAGCTTGTTTTTATACTATGGAAATTCTGGGCTTAGAGTATCAGAGAGCTAGTCAATCAGTCTCGACTAGAGCACTCTTACATGGCTGTGTGCGCCTTGTACTTAAATATGATAATTGGAGGTAAAATTAGACCTTGCTTAGCATCCATATTCTATTTAAATAATAGTAAGACAACACATTAAAGAATGTGCATTTGCAAACTGTTGATTGATGGCGATTATTGAAATGATCTTGGGATAAGTATGACCAAAAAGCTTATTCAATATCCCATCCTTAAATGGGGCAAGGGGGAAGGGAGAGGTAGCTTTTGGATGTATTTTGGAATATGTAAAGATATGTAACCTTAGTCTTATAAGAGTGGATTGACAGATTGACAGATCGACGTGCAGGCGGATGTTCCCAAGTTCAGTACAGTTTTCTCTTCCGCTATCATCTATAAATCCAGCATACACTTAAAAAAATAGTTCGCATATTTACTTTGTAATAAAGAACACGCCAGTTTATAATTGTCGTTTAATTTGTCACTAATCGCATTGTTTGCTCATTGTCGTGGGTACTTTGCACTTTTCCATTGTCAACCGCCCCACTCGATTATGGTGGGAATATTTGCCGTATACTCGCTCTACGTATGCGTATATCTTGTGTGCATGTATCTGGGTAAACTAAAAAACAAGCTTAAGATTGTAGAGACTCCCCCACAGTGCTACAATAAGTCTTAGTCAAATTGCATTTACTTCAGTACTAGTTAAATAGAGTTCATCTTAATACCTACAAATATGTAGATATAGCTGCTTACCACTGCTTTCCCTGGGATGCCGATGCTTGGGATCGTGCATTTCTCGAAACTCAATCGGATGGGCATCGTCAATGGAGTTCGTTTGGCTATTGTCGTCCTTCTTTTGTTGGAGCTGATTGAAGGACAGCAGCACATCGTTGGAGGCGTCGTCAGTGCTAGAATAGGTGGTGTTCACCTTAAGCTTGCTGTTGTTGTAACCCTCCGGCCGATGCTCTTCTATCGTATGGGTGGGCTCAAATTCAATGTATCCAAGGCCTAGGCTGTACATCAAGTGCTCCAAGCCCTATGTATGGGTACGTTAACATTAGTGCCTTGGCTAAAATATTTTAATATTTTAGAGAAACATCAATATTTTCTCAAATACTGTGTCATAAATATTGAAAGAATCTGTTAAGTGTGATTTTATGACTGGTACTTGAGACCTAACTTTCATATGATAAACTGTAACCAAAAAGATCCACATATAAATAATGAAGTTGTCCCATATTTAAATCGTTTTACTTCAATCAAGTCATGATTCAACTGATAAGCTTCATTAGGTTAGGATCAGTTAGCTTATCATCAATCCACATATATCATACATCTCAGTCTATGCACATTCAAGAATTATGTCCAGCTGCATTTAAGGCTGTCGAATACATCTATTTAAAGTTAAGTATAAGTATTTTGAACACCATTAGTATTTCCGAAGCTAGCTTAGCTGTTTACTTGAGAGTCTTTCTGGTTACTAACGATGCTTGTCTAATGGACTATTTAGAATAGTCATAAATTCGACAAAGAATTCAATTCGCACTCAAATCCATTTGACACATTAAAATCGTATTGTGATCCGAATTCTATTCACTAGAGAAATATTTGCTGATGCGGCCTCATGTGTTCAACTTCAATACACGAGAATCTCACAAAAATAGAAATAATTACTTGATTCACTTGTCACCAAGAAAAGCAATTATATATTTACATTCCTATACAAGTCTCCACTTACATATTAATGATGGAAAGCTGAATGCGTCTGGGAGCGTATCTAATTGACTCGACAGCTCTTGGCTTGGGCGTGTGCTCTGCCCATTAGCAGCTGAGTTAGCCAGCTCAGCTGTTATTTAATAATTTAGTTTCGGAACGTTAAATTTTTTCTTTTGGCAGCAATCCACAGCTGACGGGTTTTTCAATCAGTTGTTTTGTATGTAAAGTCTGTCAGCCAAATTAAACAAACACGCGCTGAAGCCATAACAAAAACAATACAAAGCAAGTAAGAAAGCTCTAGTCGGGGGTGCCCAACTAGGAGATACCCTGACTCCCGTCCGATCAAATACTTTCCATGGCTTGTGTTCAGCCTAAAAGAAAAAGGAAGCTGACATCAACCAATATCCTCTCCGGCATAGCGTGTCGCCTCTGCCGACACCGCCACTTCCTTTCACGAAGTGTAAAGTCGCAATTCGCCATTTTCGATTCGAATAGATAAGCTTAGATAGAATATAGACATGTGTATGAAATACATGCTTATTGTTGCTTGCCATTAGTGTTTGCTAAATGGCCAAACATTTTGTTTCATTGCGTCTGTCGCACGAATTTAAACTTGAACTCAAATTAAACTTAAAGAATTTGGGCAAGTTTTGAGCCGTCGCTCAAAGTAGAATAAAAATCAAACTAGTATAAAATATACTGTAATGTATATTTTGTAATCGAAATTTGGAGACTTAAGCTTCAAGTTTCTTTTTAGGGACCTACAAAAAAATTTAATATACAAAAATATTGGTTCTGCCTGTTCACTGTACGCTGATTTCCTATTTCCTATGGATTGTGGGTTTAAAAAGTTGGTTCACTATATTTTATAATGTTACACGGACATATACCCTGTAAATGCATTCAAATCTGCCTTTATAAATCATGTCAAGAAGAAATTCGTTGTTTACAATAAAATTATGTGTTATATATCTTAATTCAATATATAATTTGATATAAGTTTTGTTGAAAATCGGTGAACCTGGTAGAATACATTCTTTATGAATATCTATATACTTAATCTGAATAATATAGAGATACATTTGTGTATATATAAATAAATAAAATATAAGTATATATATATATATATATATATATATATATTTATTTATAGATTTATATATAGTCTGCGGATAATGAATAGTTTTCAAACGTTTTTATCCATTTTCAATGTATTTGACTATTATATAAACATATTCATTAAACTGTGATAAAAGTGAACTGTTTACAGGGTATAGGCAATGTAATAACATTTCACATCGTTGCCGATATTAGTAGACCACTAAGGCCACCGCCGTTTTACTTTCATTCAGCAAATTCTAGCTCGTTAACTATTGTCGCTGGGACACGCGCTATACCAACTGATATTTGTGCTTGTGGTTGCTTAGTTAGCATGCCGCATACGTAACGAGGCTTTCATTTAAGTGCATAGAGGTATTGCGTAGTGTCGCCGGCGACGTCTACGCATGAGTAATGCCAATTGATTTGAACTGGCTGAATAGCTTATGGCCGGTGTTAGCATTGCCATAAAGCATATACCCAATGCAGCAATACATATAGCCCCACTACATAGACTTCGCAATATCCAAGTATTATCAACATGGATATAATATGGTCAATGTCCATTGCCTCATTTTTACGGCACATTCATTATATGCTTATGAAAAAATAGGTAAAAATAATTATTTTCAAATTATTTGGAATAATGTGGATTCATCCATCCACATTATTTAGATCATTAATTTGAATAATTATTTTTTTTTGCAAAATAGTCCAAAGCTACTCTTTCTAAAAAATTCCAAATAAGTTTTAACATTTGGCATGTTTTGTTTAAAAATATGTATGTCTATGTTATCTCGGCCAATATTACGATGTGAAATTATTAAAAATGTAAGAAAGTAAAATAAAATTAAGTAATGTGATTTTGCGTACTCTGAAGAAGAATGTGTGAAAAACACTTCGAAGCTATATGAAACCGAACTTGATTAGGGCTAAAAACTTATTTGATAAATATCAAAAATTTATTTCTTCATATATTTTTTATAATTAACCAATTTAACTAAAAACCAATTGAGATAATTTGATTACGCATGTAAATTATCAATTGAAATAATTCTTTAATTCCGAGTCATTTGCTTTGAGAATGGAGAATATCAACATAAACTAACTACTTTACAGGAAAAAGAGGTTATCTGCTATTTGACTCTATGCTCTTATTTGTTCTTTATTATTTTGATAATATCAACTATTTCGTGTCGCAAGCTTTGCATCACATCACACACAGCATAAAGCCATTGCGCCGGAACATACAGAAATGATCTGTCTCTGGGAGACTATGATGAGTCTATGATTATTGTTCTGATATTTGTGCATATCTTTGTGAATGGGCGACTGACTCTACATAAATATATATATATATATCTTTTTGTCTGTGTATCTGTATATGTGTAGACTAGCTGAGTGATAAGAATACGTCAAGATTTTGATTAAATTTACGATACTGTTAATGCTAAGAGCACATGAATAGGAACGGCGTCTGGCTACGGTTCGACGTTCGTTGTCTGCAATAAAATGTTCTGCGTATCTAAGAATGAGTATAAAGATTACTATTATTATGATTGCTTAAGCCCTGGTCTAGTATTTAATATCTAGTTCTGCCTTTAAACTGGCACATGTTTATATAACTAACAACCACACAAATAATGCATTGGGATATTCGAGACAAGGCTTCAGATTTCACTACTAATCAATGCTAGTCACTGAAGACCTTTTACCGTTTTTGAAATCGCCAACCAATGTGATAAACATTGAAAATACAAGAATTAATGATTATCTTTGACACGCCGAAGAGTAAATACTCTTTAAGAGATGTGATTTAGATCAGCTCAGACTAATTCAAAATATATACTTTCAGAGATACTTTCTATTAACAATTTAACTCCAGTATAAGTTAATTAATATTTAAGCAATATTAGTTGTCCAGCAGGACATGAAATCTACTTTTAATAGATGATCTTGTCATTGCCAATAAAGAGTTGCCATCGAAGTCTTTTTCGATCTGACTGTTACAAAACTGAGAGAAACACTTAGCTGATTGTCTCTTTTGATGGTTATACTTTATATATATATACTGTGCCATTTTACAGTTTGTTTGCTATTAGGTAAACATGCAAAAACTGGCCGCAGGCTACACAGACCTTGGCTCTCTTTGTGAAAGCCACAATCATACAATTCCCAAATGAATACAACTTGGCAATCAGCAGTGGAAGGTTCAACAAAGACAAGACTTAAAGCCTGCACAACTTACAAAGATTCGTCAGATATATATAAGCATATAGACATATATATACATACGATCACGGACTTATGAATTAGTACTAATTTAAATTTGACTTGGTGTCTGATTTCCGAACAAAAAGATGTGGACAAGTACTTTAGTGAGTGGACTTTACTTGGGTTTACCTCAAAGCTAATGGTGTTGCCACTGCCGTACTTTTGAAATAGCTGCGTCACATAACGATTATACTCGGATGATGCATGAATTGTGGTACCCCAAGACAGCCCTACTAGCAGGTATAGAGCGATTGATTTCAGCGCCATTGCAAAAAGTTACAAAACTGTCGCACTTTAAGGAACACTTTTTCTATTTTCACGATTTGTGCTGAACAATTATTACGTCGCTCTGATCATTTCAAAGGTAATTTCAATTTAAATGTCAGAGTCGGGACGCAACTGTCACTGATCCCGTTTGGCGGTCTATTGAGCGACCCTCTTGTCTGCGCACCGCTTTTGTACTGATCTCAACGAATCGCAATCTACTCGCTTCTCAGCGCACGACGCACTCGTCGCACACGTCGTTTCTATAACTGTTGTCAGTTGTTTGCCAAGCTTTCGAGATACCGAGAGCTTTTGCTGGTGCTTACCGATATTTACCTTGGGCTTTTAAATGAAGATAAAAGCTATATGATTTAGTGCTACACTATTTTGGTCTTTTATATATATTTTATTAAACTCTATACAATATGATTCGATTCACGCAAGTACAAAATTGTATCAATATTATACTTATTTTGTTTGTATAACAATCTTATGTGTAAATTATCGGAAAATTTTAATGTATTGTTGTTTTGGGTTTGGGGTTTGGGCTTGTCTTTTTCTATACTTTTTTATTTTGTGCTTAAACTCTGATAATATATATATATGTATATATATATATATGTATATATATATATATGTATATATGCATTTACTCATACATAATCACAATACAACATAATTAGATATACAAACTATAGACTTCTTTGAGAAATATGAAGATATTTACACTAAAAACAAAAATGGTATTTGGAAAAGCCTGTTGTGCGTAGTACCTATCCTTACATAATTGCTTAGCATACGAATTATTAATTGATCATTGATTCTTACATTGAAGGCACTTGATTCGCCTTATTAATGAGTAATTGAATCTTAGTCGAACTTATCCTGATTTGGCATACAAATGAAGAATTTGGAGCACCACAAGTTTATGGTCTGAGAGGTGTCGGCCAGCCATTGAACCGGATTATGTATGGTCAAATAGTATACGGGAATGCCGGAAAGTATGATTACGGTGCCTACGCCCACCTCCATGGGTGACTGCGTACAGGATGCGATGACCAGGAACAGACAGACAATAAGATAAATGATGGGTAGTGATAGATTGACCCGAATGGGTCGTTCGGTCTTGGGTTGCTTGTAGCGAAGCCAGAGTAAGCCGGACACAGAGACGAGCGTGAAGAGTGCTTCCACATAGCTAACATAGTTAATGAGCACATATGTGTCCTTTATGAACAGCAAGAGCAATGTAATTATACACTGTGAAAAGAAAAAATTTATGTTAACTAAGTTATCTTGCTGGCTCACAACAGAAGAGAATCTTACCAGAAATATTAATGATGGCACCGGCGTTAGGCAATTAATGTTGATTAGCGATATCGCAGCTGGCAGGTGGCCATTGCGTGCTCCCACAAAAAACAAGCGAGATGATGCGAAGATGGCACCGTTCAATGAGCCAAACGTCGAGCATGCCACAGCAAAGGGCATTATCCATGACAGGAAGCCCAGCATCTTGTCACCGAAGGTTACGGCTACGGCATCTGATGTAAGTATTTCATCAGTGGAGAGCACCGAAAAGTATGCTACATTTGTCACCATATAAATGATCGTGACCACCGGCATCGAAATGCAAATGGCACGCGGCAAATTACGGTATGGATCTTTCAACTCCTCCGTCACGAAATTCAAATAGTTCCAGCCCGAGTAGGAAAATAGTCCGCTGTAGAAGGCCAGTGCTATGAATCCAGGCTCTTTGTGCCCTCCGCTAAACGGTTGATCCCAGTAGTCTGTATTGCCATCCGCCAAGTACCAGACGCCGGCTCCTACAATTACCATCAGCGCGACCACCTTTGTGCCCGTGAATATGTCCGTTACCCGAGTGACCCATTTAACGTTGTAGCAGTTGATGACAGTCAGGACACCTGTGCAATATCGAATTCAATAAATGTGCTAAACGATACCTTATAGACATTTCACTACTTACATATCATGGCAGCGGCCAAGAGCTGAACAGCTTCTATGGGCGCTTCGCATGAGGGCCAAAATGGTTTCAGCAGATACTGAGCGAATGTAAGCGCTGTGATGGCATTGCCTGTAGGCACCAGTATGAGCAGCGCCACCCAAAGATATAGAAACGCAGGCAAAGGGCCAAACGCGGTGCCGATATAGGCGTAGTCACCCCCTGACTTTGGTATCATGGTACCTGGAAAACAAAAACGATTTAGTTATAAGAAGAGTCAGTCCAAATACTAGTATTTTTTAGTATATAGCAAATGTTTGTTCAAAAATCTTGTTTCCTTTTAACAATTAATTTTGGCGAATATTTTGCTACTAGTTTCCTAAAAGCGGGAAATATATTGGGTGTACCAATGCAGTCTAGCTGGCAGTCTAGCGAGAGTCTCAACTACATAAATGTGATTATTTTGGGTGCTATCGAAGCTAAAAACAATATTCAAAATAAAATTTAAGGCCGTATAAAACATCCGTGAGTTGCAGCTGCCACTGCAAAGTTCTTGCTTATTTTGTTACCTAAATATTCCCACCAAATCTAAGCACAGTTCAGTTCAGAATGTAGCAGTCGGGTGCTAATGACTGCTTAATACTCACGGTCTAAATGCTGCCACCTTTGAAAGTTATGGAGTTTTCTGATTTGCCACGCACTCCAGTGGCAATAAATATCTAATTTTTGGGAAATCAATAAAGGAGGTCAACGGTAATTTAGACGTTAAATTAAATCTGTAACTGTGAAAATGTTGGATATACAGGTTATGCCGATTTACCACGCCCCAAGTAGGCGTTAACATTAAATAATGTGACCAATCCTTTGAAGTGTACAAAAACGTATTTATTTAATTTCTTTTTGGGGTAGAACTTAAATATTGTGAAATTTACAAGGTATTTTTGACTTGCCTCGCCCAAAAGAGGAGTAAAATAAATTATATCTGAAGCAAAAAGTATTGGCTCTATTGCTCCTACATAACTAGGTTATTATATTCTTTTATTGTATAACTTTGAAGCAATTGCCAAATTGAACTTTAAACATCCCACCTTTTTTTGACAATCCAATAATAGAAGCTTGCCTTAATATTTACTTACGAGTTATAGACTGGGTAATTAGACTTTACTGCTTTGAAAAGCCAAAAAAATATCTTTGGTTGAACTACGAAAATACAAAAAAAAGACATGTGTATACAGCTACTGTACTTGTTATAAATACTGCTTTCATCTTATCAAGCTTGTTGTTTTCTTAGCTAATTAGTAGATACTTTTAGAGTATAAATAGAGTAGAGAACTTAGAGGAAATTGATGCTTGCTCAAGTTAAGCTTCTCACATATATAAGTGAATTAAAAATATGAAGATAACCTGAGCCCTCAGCAGAGCTTTCAGAGATTTCAAAGCATTCACATGTACACATAGTTAGATTAGATTCATTAGATCTTCCAACAATATATGAAATATATTTCATATATTTCTAATTAGTTGAGAATATTGCATAAATACAAAAAAATCTGAAATTGTATGTTTCAGTTTTAGAGGCAATTGATAGACCCACAAATTAGATGGTCTGCTTATTTTAAATCAAAAAGTGATTGAACTATCTTTATACTTCTGTCATATGCCTTTCCAGTGTGGACAGCTCTTGCCTTTCTCTTAGCTCAGACTCTGGTCTTATCAGCTATTCTATTTATCGAGTTTATATATATATATATATATAATATTCCATAACAGTAGGTGCATTATCGACTTCAAAATGAGCGATATAAATATCTATTTTTATATTTCTTTTTTTATTATATAAATCTGTTTCTTTACACATATTGTACGTATGTATATTGGACTGACCGAACAGCTGTAAGTCTATATGCAAATAACTGTCTGGCAAATCAAGTTTGTCGAAAATGAAACACGTTTTGTCTCTGATTCAAAACGTGCGACTACAAAAAATAACAATTGAGAAGCAGAAGAAGATGCTTTTTAGTATTCTTGTTAAAGGCATTTAAAGAAACACTCATTTTCTAAATTGATTTATTCTTCTTTTTTCCTTTATTTATTCAATTATAAGCGAAATAATTAACTTCAACATGGAATATAACTATGTATATTATACCATTGTTACCGATTTCTATACACCTCCATACACTACTATCACGTTGTCCTATATGCAGACCTCAATGACCTCAATTGGTTCTTTTTAATACTAATGTGTGCGATAGTAAAGTTTTGGATCTGAAGTATTCCGCAGTTTGAGCAGTTTCCCCACTTTGGTACAGTTCCAAAAAATAGGCAAAATATGAGTTTAATTGAACTGTATATTGTTGTCTTGATGTGACCCTAATTGTACCACCTGACATGGCTGACATGGCTGACATGTCTGGCATGGCATATTCAGCAAGTATTAATAAGGTCGTGCGCCACTTTAGGCAAAGGTGTTACAGGTGTTTCATACATAGCACATAGTCAGCACATAAAGGGCAAAGCTGACATCAGCAGGTTCGTACAAGAATTTACTTTAATTGTTTACTCACCCAATTCGGCGTAGCAAAGGGCACCAACCATGCTGAGTACTCCACAGAGCACCCACACGATTAGCGACTGTCCAATCGAACCGGAGAACATGAGTACACCTTTGGGGCTAACGAATATGCCGGCGCCCACGATGACACCCACGATGATAGCCACGCCATCGAGCAGCCCAATTTGTTTTTTTAGCTTTACTCCTGAACTCTGGCTGGAGGTGTCTGTGGAGGAGTTGCTCTGTGCACGTGCTTTTTTATCACTCCCCGTTTCGACTGGCACCTCGAATACCTGACGCGGTATCAGCGTATCGCTAGCTTGAATGCGTGCCATATTTTTAGACACGAATGCAATGAGATATTTGGCGAATTACTTAGTTTTCGAGTATTTGAGTTTGTTACAAATTGGTCCTTTTGTTGAATACCCTTAAGAGTAAAGTGTTATGCAAATATATTTATGAAACGCTTGTGTCTACTCATTAATTTTATCGGTTTTCTTTTTGGGTTATTTGAATTCTTTATCAGTCTGCGCTCTCCGCACTCGCACTGCCAGCGTGGATCTTGTTAAAAAGTTTCAAGCACAATTTTGTGTTTTACTTTGCGGCCACATGCTTTATTTTTTTTTATATTTCACTTTGCTTGTTGTACGTTCGGATGTGCATGTGCGTATGTGTGTGTGTACGTATGTAAGTGCACGCATGCACGCTCATTTGGCTGCACACTAAATAGCATAGAGCACACGTGGTCCGACACTCGCTCTTAAACTGTTATATTGAGAAGAGTTCGCTGTGTTAGGAACAGCATCGTTTTTTTTGTTATCTGAAGATTGTTCACGTTCAATTTTAGTTTGAGGTTTGGTTTCGGTTTCTATTCCTGTTCACTAGTAAACTTTGAAGAGCAAACTTCGTATAGCGCTGCGCTGCCCGATCGACCACACTTTACGCGCTCCGAGTCCAAACTAAGTTTGAAATATAAATACACACTTCCCTTTTATGCGATGTGGCGCGGCGCTGCGCGGCTGCTTTTGCTTTTGCTTGCTGAACGCTTAACTTTGGCTTTGGCTTTGCATTTGCTTGTTTCATGAGGTAGTCACCGCGGCAAACGCGAAACAACAACGACAACGACAGCTGTGTTTGTTATATGTAAGTTTTCTCTCGCTCTCTTTCTCTCTCTCTTATTTAGTTCACTACGCATTCGCTCTTAATGCATTTAGTCTTATGAACCGTTACCTGAGAACCTGTAATGATAGAACTAGACATTACTACCTCATGCACCTCATCCCTCCCCTATTTCACACTTTCCCTCTCTTAAGTTCTATCTCACTGGTTTTCTTAATGTGTTCCTAGCCCAAATACGTCGCACGCATTAGTTATGTTTTATTTGTGGTTAGCATGATGCAAGAATCGGATAAATTTCTGCAGCATTTACTTTCAGCAGTTCGTTAACTTCTTTATATCTCTCAATATACGTAAGCATGTGTGTTTTTGTTTGCTACACACACAAAAACATATTCACAGTGTATATGTGTCACATATATGTATATATGTATATATAAATGTGCGTGTGAAGATATGCCTACAGACTTGTATACATATACATATGTAAAAAACTTCAACTGCCAAAGGCTTAGGTCGTGCAAATTGCTTCCTTTGCCAGTTTCTAACTATTTTCAAATAATATTTTCTCTGAACTTTCAGTTCGTTTTGCTAATAATTATAAAAATATAGAAACTTCTTGTATTTATATTGATGATTTCTACATATGCAGGTTGACATACTTCTGTTGTATGACCGCTTAGCTATATAGACAGACATATGTATGTAAGTACATATTACGTAGTATTGTATGAATGATTGGATTGTATATTTTTGTATAAATATGTGTGTATGTACGTAAGCATGTGTGTGCGCTTATCAACATTACATATGAATGTATATATATCACAGGTCGATCACATTATATGGTCAATGGAGCTTGAATTGTTAACTTCTACGATTGGAATAGTGAAGACCTGTTTATTAAACGGTATGAACATTTCAGCTGAATGATTTTATGAATTCATACCCATATTCACACATTTATATACATAGAAAATTGTATGTCGATTCAATTTTTAGACAGTGCAGCTGATTCTTGTCAATATCTATTCTATAATTCGTTGGGCAAGTTCTTACGATTTTCAGTTGATTATTTTCCATGAAATAGATGAGACATATAAATATATTTGCATATACATATATATATATACATATATATATATATACATATATATATATATATATATTGATACTTTGTAAGTAGACTTATGTAAATTGATACTTATAAATGACGTAATTTTATTATAATATTTTGATTAAAGGCACTAAATTCCAATTATTGATTATTACTGATTTAGTCCAATGAAAATGACAGTTCGCAGTGTTTTGTTTTGGGTCTGTAACAGACAGGAAGCGTGACAGTACCTATAAGGTATTTATTTTCTTAATCAAGACATCTGTCCGTCCGACCAGTCTTCAAATTAAAAATATATTTTCTTGTATGCAAGTCAAAGTTAATCTGCCTGCTACATACATTTGCACAAATAAGCAATAAACGTGGGTTAGTTATTTGTTTATTTATATTAAATAACAATCAATTATGAATTTTAGTTTTTTACAGTCTTCTAGTCGACTCCTCTTCACAGATTGTTCACACTTTTTTAAAATTAATTTAACTATCTTAGGAGCTAATTAAGTGTCAATTACTTTCGACTGATCATCGATTTTCATAAAGCTAGTTCAAACTAGCCAAATTGATAAGACCGTGACAAAGCTGAAATAAATTATAATAGTTTGTTTGTCTTGGTATAAGGTCCGAAAGTTGTCACGATGAAGCGGAATAACTTTGATACTAATTGTATGATCTTTCAAAATTGTTCAACTCTTAAACTGGGGTCTCTGTTGGACTACTAACGGGACAGATATTTAAATATAATTGAATGCTTTATTTATGTGTATGTATATGTATATTCACATATTCATTCATTCTATAGCTCTCACAGCATATATCTATCGATTTATAAATTATGAGATTTGAAGACAGATCGCTGGTGGTCAATCTTAATGATCTACATAGCGGGAGATATCAAAAGGCTTTTGGTCGAAAGAGTATTACGTAGACTTTTCCATTGATAAACAATCTATTCTCTGCTGTTTTAACCGCAAAACCTAAGTTATCTAACTTACCACATGAAATTAAATAAGTTTTATTTTTCGAAATTTCGAAATAAAAATGTTCAAATTTACTACGGGAACTTAGTCAAGTTCATCAAGTCTCTGGGGTTTACTCAAAAAATAATTAAAATATAGATTTTCATCGATGTTGACATGAAAGAGAAATATAATTGTAAATTTCTTTATAATACGGTATTCATTTTTTATCCTTGAGCTTACAAAATTGTTGCGCTTATACGGACGGACAGACCGAGTGAGCTAGTCGCAATGAGCAAGAATACGTATGCTTTATGGGGTCACATCATTCTGCCCTTAAAATACTTTAATACAAAAACAACCCTTATTGGTTTTACCCCTTCGAAATGTATTTTGGGCTTACAAATACTCTCCATATGCATTGCGTATAACTGAACTTATAATATAATTTTGTAGATATTTTCATGGATCTTGTCCTGCGTTTCATGACAATTATAGGATCAGGATTCGCAGTTGCACGTGTTCAATTTTTATATTCAGTATATGATGTATAGTTTAATGATTTTCATAAAAACTTATACCATGGGGCCTCACGAAAATGGAAATTTACATGACTTTATCAGCAAGATTTTACCAGTCGAGCTTAGAAATAACTTGACAAAATATGCTTTTATATATGATGAGTGATTTTTATTTTTAGTCGATTAAATATATATATATATATATATATATATATATATATATAAATATATATATATATATATATATATATATATATATATATATACTCATACTTTGTTCTATGTAGTATATGCATGTGGGTATATGTGGGGGTTTTATTATCAACAAAAACACATAAATTGTATGTTTATATATTCATGCTGTTATGTTGATGGTGGGGATCACTAGGCGCGTGTATATGACATTTCAAACTGTGATAATTCAATTTTGCTCTGATCGTAATCTCAATGAACTTTTAGTGCCGACTGTTATACGTACGTATATATGTGGATTTGTATACAGTAGTTGAGAAATATGTGTATCCTCTAACATTTGCAAATCTTTAACACTTTAATTAAACTTAGTAATATCATATTCATATTTTCGGTATTAGTATTATTTATACCTTATTTGTCATTTTTCCCGTTTGCTTAGGTATTTGACATTAAATTTTGTAAATGGAATCTCTTTTGAGCTTACTTTATTACTTTAGCTGTTACTAATTAATATGTATTTATATTTATTCATCCTTATGATTAGTAGCTAAAATTCCTCCACCGCTTAAGTGGGGTCGTTTGCGAAACGACAAGAAACATTATTGGACTGAAAAACAGATATAACGGTACATACATACATTACAATAATTATATGCAATTTATATTTATTATTGTATTTGGCAAGAAAATGTTCAATAGACCAAATAATTCTTTGAGGCGTATACATATATTTTTGAGCCACTGTCTAAGCTGAGCTGCACAAATCGTAGCGCCTGCCTTTTCATAGTGTGCCTGCGATTTTGATTGCCAACTATAATGTTATAGATGGCGACGCTGGTTGTTGTTGTTTTTGGACTGGTAATCTAATTGTAAGCGTCGTCAATGAGACACACGCATGCCACACAGGAACAGTCTGCCAACGGTGTGTGTGTGCACACTGTGGGTTGTTTTTGTCGTTGATTAACTGTGGTTTCGACTTTTATTGTCTGTTATTCATGTTTTTAGTTTCGCGCCCTACTCTCATAACCAAAAAATGTGATGGATTACTTCCATATGCAATTTTCATTAATATCTCATTTTATGTTAGATATTTTCGTCAATAGTAAATTTTGTTATTCTGAATTACTTTAATAGAATTTTTCCCGTTTATATTTTCAGATATGCGCTCAACTCTAGATAAGTCCTTGTTCTATGATAGCTCTGCTAGTCAGTAACTCTTATCACGAGCGAACGCTTACCATGTGTATTATAGGTTAATATACACACCTATAATACACATGAATTCGTGTGCCACTCCGTTTGGACAAGCGTAACGCACGGTTCGAAATTCTGAATGGAACTGAAAGTGATTTTTTTCGTTGGATGCACAATGTCACAAACACTGCACTGGGAGAATAAAATACGAAAAGCTTTAATAAAATAATAAAAAAAATAATAATCCACAAAATGTTAGACAATTGTATACAATTGTGCGGGTGGATTTATGTTCGTTTATTGTGATGTGTGCGGAGCAGGAACTGTATGCATACATGCATACATTCAGATAAGCTCTTTTCAACACATATTACCGTTTCATACAGCTACCTCTGGATGCACTCTGATGCACTCTCTCTAGAGCAAGCCGCTCTCTAAACTTTTGCACGCATGTGCATAGCTAGAGAGAAAAACTCACCTAAAAGTTGCGCTTCATAATATGCATCTATAGTCATATAGTCGTATACATAGAAATCATATTTCCATAAAACCCTATAAAGTTGCACAATTCTTATCTGGAATCTAAGTAAACTATAACCTCACTACATTTGAAATCTCAAAGCGATTCATTTGTAATTCTGTGACTGCTCCACTCGGAGCACATTTTCGTACACATGCATGTATATACAGAAAATCTTATGAAATAGATACCTAATGTAGTTTTAGCTTAAAACTGATATCTAATCAGCCAGAAGTGGTAGCTTAAAAATTTTTGCTGTATTATCCTCCGAAACGGTCAATAAAGAATTGTCCTCAAATTTAAAAGCATATTCATATATGTGATAGAAGTGTCCAGTTAGTGTAAATTTAAGAATTCCAGTGCGTGCATCAAAAGCATTCAGATTTCCTTGTGCGGTGGCCGCCAGCAAAGTGTAATCATTTAGCCATTTGAGTCTGAAATAATTTAAGTTTCATTAACAAATATATGTATTTTTTTAAACATTTACCGAAGAACCCCATCACATGGCACAGGACTTTCGCAGACCGCGCGAAGGGCGTATTTGGAATATTCCCAAATGGAAATCTGGCCGTCCAGCGAGCCACACGCTAATAGCTTAAGATCTGCTGTCGCAGGAGCAAATGCAATGCATTCGATTCCATGCTCGGACTGTATAACATTTACCGGTCCATTGTTGGTGCAGAATAGTAATTTGCCTTTAAAATTGTGGATATTACTGATTTTATTAACTAAGTACTTTCTAAGGAGTTAAGAACTTCAGTTACTAACCACCGCCTTCAGCGCATACATAAAATGGCGAATCATGTTCACATGCGACCACAATATGGTTAACTTCTCCAAAGCCAAGTGGGTGTTGATCGTTCACTTCCATCAGCACCTGACAAGTTTTTAGATCCCAGAGCTTGACTACGCCATTTGTGTATGCAGTGAGTAGTTTCTTGCCATCGCCACTTAGCTCGCCAGTTTCGCAGCGTGCCGAGTGTCCAGGCAGTATTTTGCATTCGCCGCTGGGAATACGCCAAACATAAACCTCGCCGCTATCACCGCCGGCTAGGAGGACGTTAGCGGCACGGTGCCAAAACATCCAAGCCATATCCAGCATGGAGTACTCCCAAACTTTGTTTAGAATGGGCCTACCGTCTTGTAATTCGTTCACTTTGAACACAAAGAGCTCACCGGATATATCGCCGGTGGCCAAGTAGCAACCGTCGTGGCTGAAATGCGTTTCAGTTACCGTGTCCTTATGTTCAGTAATTTCGAACAACACCTCGCCGTTATTGGTGTCCCACACATAGGCGCGATCATCCTCGCTGCCTGTCACAGCCCAATTGAGCCTCGGATGCAGATGGCAACCAAAGACAGGAGATGTGTGCTTGCGAAACGTGATAACTGCGTCATCCTTAATGGCTGCAATACGTCGACGATCTTCCTCTTCCTCTTCGTCGTTTTCATCCATTGCGTCGTCAGAATCGTTGCCGAGCCCCAAACGAGCTTCCAACTGCGATAAAGTCACCTCCTCCATTTCCAATTCGTCATCATCTACCGGTGGATCACCATCAAGCTCGATCTCCTCCAGAAACTCGTCATTTTCGTAATCGAAGTCGGGACGATGTGGCGGCGTATTTTGACGCATTCTGTATGATTTATTTTCTTAACTTTAGACGTTTAACGTTTCAACAAATGAAGCTATATACAAGTCGTGCACAACAATACACGTGTTGGCTCGCTCAGCTGTTTTTCAATAGCCCTGCCAACTTGTGCGAAATGAAAAACGACAAACTGCGTTTGAGCTTGGCGGTCCTTTTGAAATGGTGTGTGTTATAAACAAAAATATAAGTAAGTTATAGTAAAATAAGCAAACAAAGTTTATATAAAATATGAAGAGCATTTGTTTGATTTTTTATGTTTTAAGTAAGTTTATTATTTTATATAGGATTTTCTTGCTTTTGATAGTTCGGATATACTTTTCTACTTCTCCATAATTAAAATCCTTATTGGAAAAAATTAAACAAATATCATCTGTTTATTATTTGGTTTCTAATTTTATTTATTTTAAATTGCAGTTCAATTTTTATTATGTAACAGTGTTTCCAATGTCTCTATACGACCCTCCAATTCATCAAAAGTTGGCAATTCCCCCCAATCACATGACGACAAGCAATCATTGGCTGCTATCTCAGCATTATTTAGCTTGTCGTAAAGCTCCTTGAAAATATTCTGTATATATATAATTTTCTTCAACATGACATTTTCCAAAAATTGGGTTTTGTTTCTGATTTGACTGAAGTTAGTTTCTAAATAGTCCAGCCTATTCGATAGTTCTACGAATGCTCCGTCGGATGATGCATTCAATTTTTTCTCGAGATCGTGTAGTTTTTGTTCAATAAACTTTTTTATTTTAGCATGGAGAACATCACCCTTTTCCATGCTATTCCACTCCTTTGCAAGCATTTCCTCCATCTGAATCGAAAGGTTGTTAATCTCCGAAGACTCTGCATCTTCTGAGTCGCTGACATTTTTAATTTGCTGGTATATTTCCGTTAACTCATTTTGCATAGAATTAATAATGACTGTAAATTCATTGTTTCCATTTTCAATGATACGTGCCTGTGCTCTAATATTTCCATTCATTATATCCTTTAGCATTTTAAATTTCTCGCTTAGTTGAGTTTTCAATATTCTTAATTTGATCGTCGAATGTTTGTATGTAAGGGAGCTCTGGCTTAAGGCTCTGGACTGTGGACTCAAGTTATCAAAATTGTTTATTTTTGTTAAACTGTCAGCGAGAAAGTTTTTTGTCTTCAAATTAAATTGTGTTCTATTTTCGTGAGCTTCATTTAAATTAATTTTATTTTGCTCCATTTCATTCAATAAACTATATAGCTTTGCTTTAGAGCTCTTCACAATTTTCTGCCCCTGGTAAATAGATTCATAAAGCTTTAGCGAATCTACTTTCTCAAGTTTATCGAAAGAATTTTTCAAATAAAGTGTTAGGTTCCGAATTTTCAGTTGTAATTGATCAAGTTTTGATTTTGAGATATTGAATTTAAGTTTTCTGCCTTCGTTTTCTAAACGCATTGACTCACAAAACGCAATAAATTCATTAATTTTAGATTCCCCATCATGCAAGGCGTTGTCTACGTTTTCTAGAGCCCCTTCTAAGTTCGTAAAACTTTCGTTTAGTTCCTGACTTGAAATATTATTGAAATCGGTGAATTCTATTTCATCGATCAGTATAACATTATTATTTGTGATCTTACAGCATTTGTCCTTTTGGGCATCATGTTCAATTGTTGTTGCAAGTGTCGAGAGACGATCTTCCGCTTTGTTGGCATTTTGCATTAGATTATATTCATTGGCAATAAGTGAATTAAGTATCGAAATTATTGAAATATAGCTTGGGGCTATGAAGCTTAGTGCGTTCTTAAATCTGCGGATAACACCTTTCACATTAATTTGCCAATTGCTGCAGCAACTGCAAGTGGATTGGTTGACTTGAAGTGCTTGGTGATTTAGTGCGCTTAGTCTTGTCATAAAATTCTGTATATCCAATAGAGCGTAGCCCGTGTGTTTCGCACGTTCAGAAAAGGGAACACAATTTAATTCTATTAGAAAATCGACGATATCATTAATTATCTCAATTCTATCTCGAATAATGGGATATGGACAACAATTTCGATTCAATAGTATATTCAATTTTGTTATGAAATTCGGAAGTCTTGAGACTAATCCGGTCAATTTATTTCCTAAGTTCACCTGTTCAGTTATCCATATTCCCTTTTCGTCACTCTCATTACATCGTGGTCCATGCTCAATTGGATCTGTTGTGGGCTCTTCAGTTGTAGTTGTTGTAGTAGTAGTCGATATTGTTGTTGTTTCTATGTAAGAATCGTACATTTGCTTGCGATCGCATATAATAACTCGAGGTATTTTAAAATATAAAGTCAAATCAATTTTGAGGCAATTGCCATTATCATATTCACTGGCAATTGTAAAAATATTTAGGTCCAACAGGGTATCCTCAACATCGCGTTGCCATTTGCTAACATTTGCCCAAAATGTAGCATTTTCTTGTCCAGTTAGATCAGTTCGGATGCAACCGTTATTCCGCAGGTAGGGATCATAATTTGCATGTTGCTCGTCGTCCAGATCGGTATAATCAGCTGGATTATCATAAACACTATAACAGATCAAGACGATTTTAACGCAATACTCGTATCTCGTTGAATAAGACAACGACACGTTTCTCGTTTGAGTTAAATTGTCATATAAAAAATAGTTTGATTGAGAAACATATTGCATTTCTGCTAAAATCAGGAGCATTTGAAATACATTCGCCTATAATTTCAGAATTGGGTTATAAACACAAGCAGTATTTGATAGATTCCATTCTCATTTACCATATTCGGTCTCCGACGTCGTATTTCCAAAGCAACTGCAACTGCAACTTTCCTTTTGTACTGAACACTGAATGCAGTTTACTTCTTCACTTATAGAACATATTGAATTTTTTATAATTGATTACTAAAAACAAGCAGAAATAATCAGGGCGTACAAATTATGCTTTTTCAATAAAGTGCAGAGTACAGTAAAAGCTCTTGTTGGGAGTGCCTAACTAGAAGATACCTGAACCACTGTCGGTTATCGTTAGTAAACAGACTTGTATAAATATCTTGTAACAATCTATATATATATTTAAAAACACATATATTTGTATGTACTTAAACATATAAAAGCTAACACCGAAAGCAATTTATTTTTGTATATTCGGAATATCCCAAATAATTAATAATTTTCCTTGTTTATAAGTAAGCGAAAGCTGAAAAATTATGGAAGATTTGTCAAGAAGGCTTTTAAGAATAGAAAAAGTCAACAGTAACTTAATTATCAAGTTTTGAGTATAGTCATTCGCGATTTATGTCGTCTAGTGAGTCCGGGCATATTATTTGTTTTGTGTTGGGGCTCTACTTCCACAGCATAAGAAGAGCATAAGACGCAGTTTTACCACGCTTTCAACTATATCTTTTTGGTCGGGAGTTGTCTGAGTAAGTTCTCTAAATTTTCAATCAAATTGAAGCGCTTATGTGTTAAAAGTTAATTTATTTACTGCTATACCCTTTATAAGAGCCTTTATAAAACATTTCAAGTCTCTAACTCTTATATAGACCAAATCGACTCGGGCGTTGCCCCAGATCAGGTCTGCTACGCTTCTTCACCGTCAACAGTTCTATGATAAGAACTGCTCAAATGTGTGCGAGTGCGTGTGTAGGTATCTGCTGAAACAGTGACGTCGTTCGTACGGGCACATTCTGCTGTTCGTCTATGTACACATTTTACTTGATAAGAAAACTTGTTTAACACATGAACGTATTATGTATATACGTGGGTACATTATACATAAGGTTTGTTTTGTGTACTGCCTATCTCAATCTGAGCTGATTGTTCTTCGCTGGAGAGCTCTGTCATAGAGGCTTGTATATAAAGTCGACGTCATTGTGACGAAGAAGTTAGTACTCAGCGTCGATCGACAACGGCAACATGTCTTCAAGAATAAAGAATAAACTTCATAAAATTATATTTGTGATGTGCTGAAGTCTGGACTGTCTCGGAACTGTGAGAAGCATAGGCTGTACCTTCAAGGCGCTTAGAGCGCAGTCTCAAGGATGCTTCTTTGGTTGGTGCACAGCTTTAAGCCATGCTGAATAACCTATGCAGAAGACAGCTGATAACTGGAATGTGGATGGGCAGTGGCAATATAGTTTAAGTGACACAATGCCGAGTGTATAAACATAGAGTTATGCAATAAGTAGTTAAACTATAGTAGAATAAACTCACATTTCACGAATAAGTTATCTAATAGTATTTATTTTATAGACTTCTGTGAAATAACTTACCAGAGTCAATAAGAAACAGCAATATCTTCCATGTCTTCCATTGAATTTTGTGTAATTTGTTCGTTACTGTTACAAAAATAAAAATATTAGTATTGAAATCGAGGCTTCCAAATATTTATATTGTTTACAATTAATTCCAGTAATATTTTTGCAGTTAAACAAATAAAATGCTTAAAAAGTTGAAATCAAGATTGGAATATACGCGTCTCTTTTGTTTTGAGATACTTTTAAAATATATTTATCTAAAAGGGCCAAGAGGAACGATTTATCAATTTGTCACTTCGGTGATAAAATTCTTAAGAATTGAAAAAGGATTCAAATATATTGTAACATTTCGATAAGCAACAATTGTTTGTTGTTAGTTTATCAGCAAAGAGACATTCGTTGCTGAATTTTCATTTTAATTACATATAAAATATCGAATTAATGTTATACACATTTTTAGTAATTTCAGAAGATTTTTATTATTTTAATAGCTGCAAAAAAAATGATAGAAAACAAAAGTTTTTGTTTATGCTTTCAATTATGCATTTTATTTGTCTTCTTTAAGCTAACAATTCATAATCTTTTTTTAACCCCATCCAAATTATATGCTTTTACTCTTGGTAAAAGCACAAACTGTTTTAAGAGTGTCAGTCAGAGAGTGAATGCTTTTTATGGTGCTTTAAACATTTTAAATATTATTTAGAATGCAAAACATTTCGATTAAGCTGCGGATCTGTCTGTCTGCTGCGATGAGCTCCTAATACGTCCAAGGTCGAAGTGCCCCTAATTTGGTTTCGAAGACAGACGAAGTCTTGTTAGTCCAACCCACTAAAGTCGTGCCCAGACTTGAAATAGCTAAATCCCAGATGTTGCTTGATGGTGTCCTTCATGCCTGTGCCCAGCGATCGTTAAAGTTCCACTCAATATCGTAGGGATTCGCCTGTGGGGCGCGTTGAAATGAAGTCCAGAAGAAGGTACCGCCATTGGTGCGTGCAAAGTGTACGGGCACATAGTAGTCCTCTTGATCGAACGTGTGTAGTTCGCCGGATCCGTTTTCGTTATAGACTATAATCGCGTCCTCCTTGGCGCATTGTCTGATCTCCTCGATAAGTCGATCTTCCAGATGCTCGTTTGACATATTATCCATGTCGTTGTTTAGCCAGTCGAACTCCGTCTCCTTTTCATCTGATGCAATATAAGAGCTTCGCTTTGGCTGCTCTGCCTTTAATGTAAAGAAGTGTCTAAGCAAGGGCTTGACAATATTTGTGAGTCGTCGAGTAGGCGAGACTTTTGACTTGTGGGAATAAGCCATAGACTTTTTCTTATAGTTGTTGAAGTCGAGTTGTTGTTTATTTTTAGCTGACATCTTCGACATTGCAGTGTCTTGAGTAAGTGTTGCGTGTGTTGCTGGTGCGGGAGTCAAACTGTGTCTGATGCTCTCTCTAACAGGCCTACCCTATTTATAACGTAAACTCGCTCTCGCAGAGGCAAGTCTGAGAGTCTGCATCTCAGCCAATCACAGATTCTGAGATGCCCTAGGTGGTAGATCAGAAGTTTCTCACGTTTGGTCAGTGCAGAGAAATACCTAACACTTGCAGGTATTAGTCCCGAAAAGGACGAGAAGCGTGGGAAACAATGCTTCATGTGCATCTTTCAAGGTCGTTATCCTGCCACCTTCGGCGTGAGAACTAAATAACTCACATTGTTCAATTAAATTCCATTGCCACAAAATTATTGATTGAATTGAATTGATTTTTGACTATTTTCTACTGTTTTGCTGCTCAATAATATATATTTTGAGAATCGTTGTTATATCTTGAATCTTTCGTCAATGGGAACTCAGGGTCACATAGCTTTGTTTAAATAACAGAACGAGGCGTGACAGACTTCATGAGGCATATATATTCTTGATCAGGATGGCGATCTGAGCCGATATAGCCATATCCCTGTGTCCGCCCAAAATTCTTCTCCTTGGTTAATTCACTTGAAAATATAGCCAAAATATAAAAAATTCCCGTTTATTCATATGCGTCAATTCTTAACAATGAAAAGCGTTACAATTGCGATTGAATTGTGTTCGTGTTGTCAGCTTCTTCTTTAATTTCTGATAATCAGGGGTGACTAGAACTAGAACCCGACTGGAACTTTCTTACTTGTAATTAATTTGATGGCGTCCATAAGCTTAATCAGATTATTAAAATGAAGAAAGAAAGGTGTTTCTTTATTGTATAGAATGAAAATTATTTCAATATGTAGAAGAATAAAAATGTAAAGGGTCACGGGAAAGAAAGCCAAGAGAGACTTTGCTGTAAGCTCCTTCTAAGGGCTGGCTTGAAATGATACCTCAACACCTGCCGTCACAGTTTGAAAGTTAGTCTCTCAAAATTCAACGAATAAGGCACTGCTTACCTACTTTGATGATTTACCAAAACAAAAAAAATATATATTTTACAGTTTTGTATTTTACAGTATTTTTATAACCTTAAAAGAACTCAGCAGGAACTTAACCATCAAACTTTTAAGTTGGACCATTAAAGTTTCGATAACTATAGTTTTTTCAATGTATCACGGGCCAAGAAAAATATTTAAAATTATTGGAAAATCAAGAGAGGAGGACAATAGTAATTGAGTCCATACATTTTGAGTGGTCAAAGATGTACCATGTAAAAACTTAAAAACAACTTGAAGACTTTAACTTACTCGACAACCAACGGTCAGAGTCAGTCTAAATTTTGCTGGGTCATATCGGGTCGCAAAAACATAATTAGCGACCTCATAATGATCTTTATTTTTCCTGTAAATAACATACATATATGTACAGTAATGCACAACTACAATTTGATGTAAATCTGCGTCGCATCCTGAATTCGAATTACTTTGGTCCACAAAATCTTAGTTTTCATTTTAACTTTTAAATCTGGACATTGGAACTATATAAATATATAGTTACTGTTATTATTGATTGTTGCTAGTTAGAGGTGTGGCATCGAAGAACTTTTACCAAAAAATCTGGGATCAGAAGGAATAAGTAGCGCGAATGGGAGACAACAACATAGGGATCTCGCATGTGATATAAGACAACTCGATCCCGACTTGAAAGGTGGGTAGGGTTAGGGTTTCTTTCTTATGTGTAGTCCCTACCTGTTTCAATGAAATATGAGATTTTTCTGGCACTGCTTAAGAACGATCAAAGAAAGCAAAACAACCGTTGACGCTGCACGGGCAGTAACGTGTTTTCGATTCAGAACAGGTTTCCAACTCAAGGGCGCAAGAACAGGTAGTCGAGAAAAGGTTTCGGTTCTATTTGTTATTCTGATATCAAATTTGTTGGGTCTTTTTATTTTTGTTTTCTTATTTTTATTTCTTGTCGTGTATACAGGCACAAGTAAATTTTCTAAAATCTGTATATTTACTTGCATATTTTTCAAAGTAATCCTTTTCTTAATGCTCGAATTACATATAATTCTAATACTTAGAATTTAAACTGACGTGTTATACAGAGCATAGATCAGATTTCACAATATCGAATCCTTGATCACGGCTCAAGCTCAACTTTATTGGAGCCAACTGAAAAGGTTTGCAGGCAACTTTAAATGCATTTTCTATAGTTTTGAAGATAGCACACTTGTGCTTCTTATAAATACAAATGAAACTAATCAGACTATAAATTTGCTTTAATGATTACCTCGTAAATACCAGCTATAAGAATCACCCCTTGTGAATAGTTGATTTAGCAATCAGGTGATCTGTGGATATATAAACATGCGTAGACATAGGCTACACACATTCCTTTCCCTTAGAGTACACTGCAGGCAGGTAGCCAATGCAATTTTGTCTGCACGTGTGTCTGGCTCGTTCGTCTCGTCCCTTCTCCAAATTTCTGTTGAATATTTGTATTGCCTTTTACTTTGTTTTTTTAATGGTTTACTTGTCGTTATTTCTTTGCCTTTATTAATTATTAGCTATTCGTGGCTAGAAAGACTGCGAGACAACGGTCTGAAACCCTCGTTAAACATATGTCGTCAGAAGATATTTACGTGGCTTGCATCTATTCGATAATGACAAGTTTTTTTAATTAATCAATTGGTCATGGATATTAGCTTAGTCGGAGTCGTTAGAAAATATTATCTGTTTCATGGATGGTCCAATTACACAGTCTGCATGATATAATATCAATAAATTATATGTTCGTTTTAGAGTCTTTTGATTAGGTTGACGACTTTTAAGAAGATTTAAATTAGTTTTTGATTTTAGTATCTTCGTATAAGAATTTCATTTTCCTTTTGTATTTCGAGCGATTTATATAAAATTTATATGAAATATTCATTGTCAATGGATCAAATGCCAATGCGCTGTAAAATAGCTTAAATATTCAGTATTTCTTATCCCTTTATTTCCTTTTCTAGGTATCATAGTCCCCGCATTTTGAACACATTAAAGAAGAAGAGAGTTCACTCTTATCAGTTATGTAAAATTCTTTGTACATGGCTGTGTACACATGCAGAGGATAATAAAGTTTGCTTCAATTAATCGACTACTTCAGCCTATGACGGAATAAATAAAATTTATTAGTTATTTGAGCACGTTGCACACGTTTCAAACGCCGAAGTAATCCAATTAGATTCAAATATTTTGTATTATAATGGAGAAATAACGATTGAGTCCTATTAGAGCTAAATGACTTTTTATTTTTAGAATTAATAAGAGCTGCAAATCATTATGGGTACACTACATCAACACTCCGGTCTTTCATCTTCAGTGCAGCAAGGTAAGTTTGTTGACAGGTTGCTTAGGACCGCACAAATGGATCCCAACTGGGGAGATGAATTCACTTGTATTTTGATTTTATCAAAAAATTGATAAGTTTTTGTATATGAAATAGCAAAAAGCAAACAGGTTTTTGTTTTCTTAGTTAGTCTATTTATTTATTTTCTTAAAACTAATATATATTTTACATGGAAGACAATGATTCTTAGCCTACACGTACCCTAACAAACAAACATGGAAGACAATGATTTTCTTACAACTATGAAACAAAGCTATTATAAAATCACAATAATTTACAAATATTTATATTGATTGAAGATTGGTTTTTCTCTTAAACCAATTGGAAGCATACTAATGCTAATATCACCTTCAAATTGTGATCGTACCAAGCTCATCGAGAAGCTTGGCTTTAAAGCTGACATCAATGTTGTCGTCGAGTCGAACGAGAGTTAGGCCTGAACCCAGCGATCGTACTTAGTTCGCATTTCGTTCTCCTGTTGTTGTTGTTGTTGCTGCTGCTGCTGGCACGCTGTATCAAGTGAAGTCCAGAAGAACGTTCCGCTGCTCGTACGGGCAAAGTGGACCGGGATGAAGGTCTGATCAGGATGCACCGGAACAATGCTGTGCTTTTTGTCATGCTGAACGATGATAGCCGCATTGTTGGGACAGTCGCGTAGATCGTTGTAGAGTCTCTGTTCGAGCAGCTCATTTGCCGTGTTGTCACAGCTGGCCACTGAATTTTTGCGCATGTCCTCCAAAGATGAGTTTATCTCGTTCTGCGATTGCACCTCGGCCAGGGTCTTCCGTATTAGCTGTTTCTTCTTAATCAGCCTTAGCAGTGGTTTGACAAGTTTCTTCAGGCTAAGCATTGCCATTGTATGTTGATCTGATTTTTGTTGCATCATGAGGCTCGTTTCGAACTTGTATTCCCGTGTGATGAAAGACATTGAGAGCGACTTGAGTTGAAGCTGTTGCCTCGTTGCTGGTCGGTACTGTTTTGCTGTTCGGGATAGTGGAGGGTCTGCTTTTATACGATCAGCACTCAGTTGCGCCTCTGCGCTCTCGCAATGCTCACCGCTCGGGCAGCCAATGAAAATGCTTTGTTGAGGCAGGTGGTTGTTTGCGCATGAACTGAGCGAACGAGTGAAAGAAAGGGAGAGATTGACATTCCAGATTTTTTAAAGTGGATTTTTGGTTGGCATTTTCGGGTTGCACAAAATGTACTTTCTTGCTTCTCGCTCGCACACCCGCTACCTGCTCAGCATGATGTTCCCAAATCACATTCCAAAGTCCTTTGCCCCGACATGATCGGACAAGTCGTAACAAGTCCGTAAATGCCATCCCTAAGTGTTGAGGATTTTAAAATTGGACACGCTATCCGAAAAGGGCAGGGTAGGAGCGAGGATAACAATAGTCTGCACTCATATCTCTAAAGCAATCTCGCTCGGAAAAACCTACTTGCTGGCCATTTCATTGACACAACACGTAAATTCCAATGCCGCGCCGAGCACTGTGACCTGTCTGTAGAAAGTAACGTATTTTTCCTTTTTTTGGTGTACCGGATTTTGTTTGAGTTTTGAAGGTTAGTCAAAACGAATTAACGCGCTATTTGGGAGTTAAAACGTCCCGGAGTGGCAGGTAGTGGGTACAGACAACCGTTTGCACACACATTGGCTTGTCATTGTTGTTTTTAGGATCTCTGTGTGGGTCCGTAAATAATTTACCCCGCGGGTGATGCATCCTTCAAATTTTTCTAGAATTTTGTCGGCAAATTATTTATGTGCCTTCCGATTGTTATTTGAACGTTACATTTGAAACGTAACGTTCGTTTTTATTTTTAACGGTTTTACGCCAAGCATCCTTAAGAAAGGGTATACATATACATTTTTTGTTCAGTGTATATGCATGCTATGTGTGTACATTAGAATATTCTTGTTAATTACAAGGAATCATTAGCTGAAGATCTCAATACTTAACAACCGCCTAGTCAAATTGGATTTTGTTTGATATTGGGAGTTTTTTATTTTTATTTTTTTTGAGTCACTTATGACTTACAAGCTACCATGCATCCTTCAACTTATTATAGTCTATATAATCAATTGTTGTTCCATAAAGATACCAGCATCAACCTAAGATACTTGATATTTGCAATTTCTATTTAATAGAATAAACAAGTAAGAGTCTAGCAGCTTAGCACTCTCGACTGCACAAAATCATTCATTCACTGCACCAGCCTTAAGACTTGGGTTTTCTTTCGATTCACATAGAGTAAATAAGTCGTTAAGCTCTGAGCTTTTAAATTGAAGAACATAAAGATTTTCCCGATCTGCCACGCACAACAGGCGAGGATATATAATTTTTGGGCCAATCCCTAAAAGGCCTCTAGAGTAACGTAGCTGTACAATATAGCGGATAAAACACTGTAGAAAATACAGATTATTTTCGATATGACACAACTCAAAATGGGTGCAAATTATTTTGTTACATCAGTAATAAATAAATAAATAAATAAAATACAAATTCTAAGCTATATTTATTAGATACTCACGAGTATATATTCCAAGTTTCAAGTCTCTGGCACCAATATAAATCAAAATATAACTGATTTTGTACAAAACAGTATAAAGTCAGAGCCGATTTGCCACGCCAAACACATATAGTAGGTTTTCGTTGTGGGATTCTGAAAGGCCAGATATAAATTTCTTGCCGATTTGCCACGCCCCTAGTGGAGTATCGGGAAAATCTTGCCACTTTATCAGAGAAGGGTACCCACTCATATATATTCCACATTTCAATCCTATAGCTTCAATGATTTGCATTCGGACAGACGGACGGACGAACAGCAAAGCGGTAATATATACCAGTATAGTTTTTCACTTTATCAATGAGCATAAATACTTCAAATTAAACCTTGACAAGTAAGTTTTCAATGGGCCCAGAGAAACAGTATTTATATGTATTGCACAGCTTGCCCACATATGAAAGCGATACAAATTCTTAAAACTGTATTTCATTTGAAAACTTATTACAGAATATAGTGAATAGATTATTCTTAGAGCGTAGGGTAGTTGATTACTGATACCCCTAATTGGTGACTCCCTGAATTTACGATTAAAATGGAGATTTTCCTATTGTATTGTTTAAGTGTAACTTTCTATCGTGTTTAATTTCGCCCGTCTATAATCATGTACGTGGCATCTCATGAAGAAATGCACTGTAATTCGTTTTGGGGTCATTTTAGGGTTTGTTCCATTATCGCCTCTTTACCTTTTATGCATTTAGTGTTTTTACCTGACTCGAGTCTCGATCTGACCCTTGCACGTGTGCAAGCCTAACAACACACAATCGAAATTCAATAGCTCGAATGTATTAGAAAAGGTCAATTCAACAGAAAAAAAACAAGTAAGAATGTAGAAGTCGGGTGCTACCGACTGCACGATACTCAGTCACAGTCTGAAAGCTGGCAGTTAATAAGCTTTGCGTATTTAAGTGTCATATATGTGTATCAAATTTTGGGCTTATCAGTAGATGAGGTTAACTATGAAACTGTAGAATATTCATTTGTTTACTTTTGCCACGCCACTAGTTGGCGTAGAAACGAAGGAATCTAACAAAGTTATATATCCACTATCTACGCGAATATATACTCCAAATTTAATGTTTATAGCAGTTTAACTCTTGGTGTCCAATAAACGCCATTCCAAATTTCAATTCTCTGGCTTCAATAACTGCGAAATGGCTTGCGATCATGCGGACAGACGAACGGACATTGCACAAAACCAATATACCCTATCGTTTCGGGAATGCAATGTAGCGTAATGGTAGTCTCCCGGAAACGGATTAAAATATAAGTTCCCTATAGTTATTATATTCTCTCTGTCCTGGCTTAGACTGTTAATGTTTTCAGCATTTGTACATTTAACTGATTTGCTTGTGTCTGAGAACGACATTGTAGGAACAGTAATGATTTCTTGACTGACGGGACTTAACGAGTTATATGAATATAAAATTTAATTACTTATATATCAAATTAAAAGATTTTGAATTTGGATCCTATAACCGTGTACGCAATCCATTGGAGTCTTCCATAGATGGCTTAATAAGACCTTATATATAACTTTAATTTGTTTGAACCGTATAATTTATTTTTGAATAAATTTAATGTTTGTGACCGTGAACAAGGATTATGCAAGATGTCGCATTTATAAAATAATAAACAGAACAAGAGAAATTGCTATTCTTAAAATTTATAGATATAATGCTAAGAGTTATTTTACTGCTTGTCTCTATATGAAACGTATAGTACGTTAAACTAATGTTTTATAGATATTAAAATATTTTATCATAAGTATTTTTGTCATATTTAAAATGGCTAAGATTAATAATAATTAGGATTGATACCAATTTGTTTCCAGTGAAATGCTTGAATTTGATTTATATGTGTATATATTTATAGTTGTTATAGCTCCTAGAGCCTGGTGGTATCGGTTGGTTACTTGAGTGAAATAGGTTTACTGCTTGGCAAATGGCTACAGCCAACAGGGCCGTCAACCGCTCATTGCTGAACAAGTGTCACAAGTTGCACCAATCTTTAAAATGCCGAAACACTTCTTCCTTTTCCAAGAACCTTCAACAATGAGAATAAAATTAAAAGAAAATTCTACTGGCGCCGGTGTCCTGCTGCTTATTTTACCCAAACGTCTGTAAGACTCTGCTATGTACGTGCGTGACCTGCTAAATAAATTAAATGTACCTTTGGCAAAAAGAGTAATTGTCACAACTCAGTCCAAAACCTTTTCCAGGGTAGCTGTCTACAGAGAGATAAATAAAATGCCTTGCCTGCCTCTAAGTCGTTTTGTTTCTATCGGGTGCGCCCTAAAAGCAGAATTGTGTTGATCTTTTCCTCGACTCGATCAACACTTTTAAGACCTGTTAGTTATCATATGCGCCTCTAGCATAATTTATGTATTCCACATGTAGATTCTCTTTAGCTTCAATAGGTATATAAGTATTTTACGAACCACTCTTAATCGATTTATATAATTTCAATTCAGTTTATTGAATTTCTTAGAAGATACAGTTCTTCCCGATGGCCAATAGACGTTGATATATATATTCTTGATTTTGGTTTGGTAGCCTGAGTATAAGTTCAAAATGTATCTAACAGTTTAACTAATAGCGTTTCTGCTATATATAGTAATTGCTGATTTGACGCGCCTCAAAACACTTTATCAAGGTTTCAATGATTTGTGTTCATATGGACGGACAGACAGCAAGTTCTAATTTACTCTTGCGCTGCGTAAATCAGTTTATGAAGTAGCTTTCATTGCTGATTAGTACAGATTATTGGGACCTATTCTGTGACATTCAAGAGGTAGGTCCTTGAAACGCTTGAGTTGTAAAACCGATAGTTAATGAATACCACCACGCTACCAAATATTCTTCACTTTCCATTTAGCGGCACTTAATTTGTGGAAAATGTAGCGGCATTCCTCGACAAGGGTTGTTGAAATTTGTGTCATGAGATCAGAGCTGAGACGCCTCTTGTTAAATATAACAGCGCTCGGTACACCAGACATCAACTATTGTTGTCCTAATGCAAAGTGATATTTACGAATGAACATTTCTTAACGAACAACCCCAATCCACAATGTCAAGTGCTACTCTAGATTGGTGCTGAGATCAAATTACGTTGCTGTTGATAATGACAATCTTCGGAGTTCTGTTATGCATGCGATTTATAAAAATTCGAAGTCGTATACTTAGTAGCCATTTGTTAATATAAAACATGACTTTTCAATTCTATAACGTCGACCAGGAGATACCCTATATTAAGTTCCTAAGCTACCCGTTCATCCATTATCCTTATTTACGTAATGGTATTTTAGTATCAAATTTCTTGCAATACTCTATAAAATATTTATGATATATATTTGTGTGTTGACTCGACTTAATTCATGCTAAAGTTCACCAAGGTAGAAGC